TCAGCTAAAAAACATAGTTTCCATCAGGGTTAATTATTTTTTATTCTGTGGAACGCGATAAGAGTATGCAATAAAATAAAACGAGAACGCCTAGCTGGTTATTATGGCGATCCCGAATTCACACGTCATGTTGGTCTGCTGGTAAATGAATTTGCTTATAAATGTTTCATAGAAATCATACAATTGAATATAATTAGTCTGGCAGTAGCTCTGACCGCAAGCAACACTTTTCAGTTTCGGGTTTACATTAAAAACGCATTATGTAAGTAATTTTCGGACCGCGAACAAAATCTTTTCATTACATTTTGAAAGACATTGCCGCTATCAAAATACGATTTCATTCAAATGGTAGGTATTATTATCTAAGTGGGTCAAGTCGTTTCAAAGTATATTCGTCGTCAAATAAAATTTAGATAAATCAATTAAATTAACTCTTTAAATGTCAATTCATTCCTAAGCAAACTAGTTTTTTAATGAATTGATTGTTACAATGTGTTTTGATTAGTAATCGCATTCTAATAACGATGCATAACCCTAAGGTACGACCGGTGCTAGGACAATCTACCATACTTCTATCCAATATTTATGATTTTTTTTTAATTATTTATTTTAGCTGCCTAAGCTGATCAGCTGTTATAAGCTGACTTGGCTATCTAAGTTGTTATGTAATTGCACATTTTTATTTGTTAATAATTAATCTATAGACAGAATAAATAACAAGTATATGCCAAACGGAATGGTGCTAAACGCGAGGAATATAAGAAAGAATAGTTTTAGATGGTTAAATTATGTCGGAAGAAATTAAATAGTAAAACGGGAAAAGAGTATAATAAAGTTAAGGGATTTAGATATAGAGATTGGCCGAATAAGCAACGGAGAGACGTTTTTCAATAAAGACATGGATTTTTGTAGAACGAATGAAGATATGGTGGCCGATTGGAATTTATAGAGAGGTTTGGTTGGCCCCATTCGTATTGTGAAAAGATCATTACGCTTGGTATTCCTTATAGTGTATCTGTCTTTATCATGAATATTATAATATAATATTTTCCATGGTTAGTTTTTTCGGGTTCTGCATCGCCGGACCGTTTTAATGTTTAATTTGTTTTCGTGAAGTAAAATAAAAATAAATATTTGAATAAGACGGATCATCTGTATTTGATATCGTAGAGCCAGCAGACTACAGAGGTTATAATACCTCTTGTATTGTATCGTGGGTGGTGTCCACGACTACAGTTTCCATCGAAATTCCCACGAGCATATTCAATAGCACGATAATATGTTACCTTATCGGGTTGGGGGTATTGTCGTATTCGACGAGGTTTCCGTTTCGCATACCGCAATCCTAGTTATAGCTATAATATTTGCTTACCGAGTGCTATGTGTCAATCAAACGGTACAAAGTCGCATGCTATAATAAATTGGCAATGTTGATTATTATTATTATAACTTAACCGGCACCGGGTACGAATTGTATTATACCGGTGAAGAAGACAAATCTTAGAAAATACATAATATAAAGTACTTGATAAATAAATGGATATAAAAAGATAAGTTAAAAAAAAAAAATAGTTAAGGTTCGAATTCCAGACGGCGCTTAATTTTTTCGAAGACTTATTTTTTTCTATTGGACATAATATGTGGCAAATAACATTGTTTTTTATGCCGGCTTAAACTATGATGGAAGATTATTTTTTGATACACTAATGTGAAATCTGTGCCGGATATGAGCAGATGTAATTAGTACTACGATAAAACGCCTGTGGTCGTTGCCGGACAGAATGGTACAACACACCTATACAATAATATTATTATGATTCATGACGTCGGTGCTTAGATATATTGTTCAAGGCGTGCGTTTAAAAGGCACTCCGTGTAATTATTATTACATATACCGGAGAGCTTATGTTGGTTTCTATAAAAATAATCGTTTTTAGATGATGTTTCGTATTTCTTTCCAGAGTACCCACATAACATTATTACCGGGCAAACCGTATATTTTATGAATCAGCAAAAAAAAGGAACACAGCTATTGAAATAATTATGTATACCTATTACAGTTTTTTTTCCGTCCGTAACACAAGTATTAACGACATTAAGTATAATACATAAATTCTAAAGCGGTTGTATTATGTATAAAACCGTTAAAAAATTAGTGAAATTGTTTAGCGGTACACACACTTACTGTTAATACACGAATTGACGATAAAAATAATTTAATTCAAAAAAGCTTATACTTATAATTAGGGATAATCGACCTAATCAGAACGGTAAACTAGTTAATGATATTTTCAATTATTAATTGATATTGAATAAAGTGAAAAAGGATTATTGAATTGGAAATTTTGAAGCGTGATCATTCATCTAACAACCGTATGTACAATGTACATATTATTATAAATTACTGGTAGATCAATGACGGACAATGATGGACGATAGTGTGCGTGACCGAATCAAGATAGTTTTCTTTGACAACAAAATATTATGTTCTGCGTGTCCATTGAACTAGGATATGTCATGACCGCAAACAGGTCGCGGTCATCCAAGTCTGACGGGGGGGAAAAAATGATTAATAAATAACTTTCTCTATTCCATAGGTTATGATATTCATAATATTTAAAATCTAACGTCCGGATTTTTGTTTTTTTTTTTTTTAGGAGGAGACAGTCGTCGCGTATCCGTTTATTGTTGACTTCCACAATTTTTTTTGAACAATATTATCTCTATGATACGAAAAGTTTCAAGTCATCCGACTAGAACCTGAACGTTCGGCCAGAGATTGGCGTCGGACGTGTTTTTTTATTTTTATTTCGAATTGATCCCAAACCAAAGTGATTAACTTTCTCGTTGAAATAAAATATGGTAATTACCCGCACAAGAAACCGTCACTTTGCGGATACGTTCAACTCACGCCGATAGTGTATAAAAAAAAAGAGACATTAAGTTCCGTAACGACTGTTGCGGTATTCGTGATAAAGTTTGTTGAAAAAAAAAACAATTTTTATTATTAAAAAAAAAAAAACATTTTAAGGCGTTTTGTGGTCAACACCGAATGAGTGGGAATAACTGTTACAAATTGGGTTTGTTGTAGTTAAATGCACAAATCCGAAAGTGAAGCACTGTGTATGATATTATTATGATCAGTTTTAAAACGAATTTGATGTTTAAGTTTTAACGCGAATATGGCTATTCGACAATTATTGTTATTAAGTTTTTGCAATACTATAACCGTCGATTGTTTGAATTTACAAGTCGAACGCAGTCACCATATTTACTTAGTTTTTCGCCTCAAGTTCATTAAATTTCTCCTATGCGCGAATATAACGTGTAGAACAAAAAAAAAACAGTGTAATAATAAAGACAACGTTGACGACGAACGTCCGTTGTAATTAACATTTTCACTTTTATAATAGTTATTATTATTAGGTATATGTATATATATATATATATATATATATATATATATTGTTTTTGATCCAAACTGTTATTACTCAATTTCTCTGCACAGCCAAAAAATCGAATACCTACATTAAAAGTAGAAACCGTCATAAGCCATACTCTGCTATATTATTATAATATTTGTGCATTCGGTAGCTGGTTTCTAAGGCGCCTGGCGTTTGGGCCGAATTAAACTTTTGACATATCGTTATATCGACCGTTTTCATTGTGAGTGTCTTTTTGTGTACTTTCAAAATCAATCGCAACGTGTACGCCCCGGTTAGAACGATAAAACAGATCAGGTGCCTATCTGGTTCCTAAGCCGAGTCGGTATACCGTTGCATTATTTACACAATAGTATAATATTATATTATTGTTTGTGGGCTACACTATACCAGAGCGGCGTTAAGGGGGCGCTTCGTATATACCGAGCACGCCTTCGCGGATCTGGCGAACAAAACCACTTACAATCGCGTTGCACGACTGTGTAGTGTATACTATTATTATCAGACCCAAACAGCATTCGGACACAATATATAATAGCATAATGAAGTCTACCGTTGTGTCATCTCCGGCGTGCAACAGCGACCGGGCAACGGTCCAAAACCAAAATGGGGAGGATAGTCCTATCCGTTTATCACGTTGGCGATGGCGTTTATTAATTAACAGCGCGTTTCGATGCAATTTTCCTGAAACCCTTATGCCAAGAGTTTCCCTAACCGAACCGAGTGGAGAACAGACATGAGATATGTGTGTAGTTTTATTAACAGTGTACCTGTGTAAAGGTTTATTCAAAAACAATTAAGATCGGACATTTGCGTTGTGTACGTTTCGAGAAGATTGCATTTACCTTTATCGAATCAACAAATAAGTATGATTGCATTTTCATAATTTTCTGAAACGTTATAACAACGCGTTTATAATGGTTTTACGATGAACGTGACCACTTAGAAATTCCCCAGTAAATTATACTAGTAGACTTTGTGTTTAAAACAACCACTCGTTTCAAGCAGTGCTAAATACGATTATATTTTACTCCTTTTAATAAACGAAACTAATTTACCAAGTCAAAATAATCCTTGCTCGAAAACTAAAAGCGTCTTAAAGACACAGCAACCTTTCAAGCGTCGTTCGCTATATTATAAAGGTAAAACCAATTAAACTGTTAAACGTATTCCGATTTTAATGAACTCGAAATCGGAACTCCGGGCGCATTAAAAAAAAAGCAATTTAAAAAGCTCTTTGAGGTGTACACCTCAGTTCCAGATGAAACGTCACGTCGTCGACCGAGGCAAATTCGATCAATTACAGTGTAAGTCTAATATTTATTTTCATTTCGGTACAATCCAATTATACAGGACTCACTTTTTTAAGTACCTTTTTTTAAAAAAATAATAACAAAATATCATTATGTTATGTGTGTACAAGAAGAACATTAATTATAAATACTGTATTTTGTTTACACTACAGGCCGTTGCTATACTCGTTTGTTGATATTACCCAAATTGTAGCCCTAATTGTACCCCATAGGTATCTATTATAATAGATTATCTGGACGTTACCTTTTTGGTAGTGCGCAGCTTCTCAGCCGAAGACCTTCGTCGATCCAAAGGAATCCGAAAACCGAAGCATCCGGTTCCGTACAAACAGAAACGCGCGCGCGCACACACACTATATATTCACTTGCACGAATTCTGGACAACTCTACATGTCGTTTAAAAACGTTATTCAAACGAAGCGAATTGGAAAAACGCGCACAGCCGATTGCAAGCAATATAATATTAAACAAATACGATGGTATCTGATATATTAAAATACAAGATCGGCAGAGACCAACGGTAAAGGAGGAACGTAAGACCGAACAACAAAAACTACGAAACCAGACCGACGAGTCGATTGGAAACGTCCGTCAACCTGCCGCGTCTTACCTCCACCACAATCGCCGCCGCCGCCGTCGTCGTCGTCACCACCACTTCTTAGCTACAAAACAACCGATGACTGTGCTCGGCCACCGCCCCCACCGCTGACACTACCATCGCCCGTGTATAATGTATGCTGCATAGCAACCTAACGTGCATTTTTACACACGACTGTCCAGTGCACCGCAATGTTTTGTGGCCGCGCAAACGCCGTGGAAGATCTACAGCCTACGGGCGTTTTTGGTTTTGGGAGTTAAATAGAAAAAAAAAAAAATTTCCAAAATATAATTTCGCTGAATATGTTTTCCACTCGAGGAAAATCGAATTTCCGATCGCCAGTCGAAACGTCTCTTATGGCCGTACCTGTACCTGTACACTGTGTGTACACCTGTATTGCAGTGCGCATGAGCACCGAAAACCGGTCCACTGATACACACGAGCAAAACGTACACAACATTTAAGGTACAATAGTATTGTAACCGACTACCGGCACGGCTATGGGTACACGATGATAATATATCAAGTGTTTTGCTCGCCGTAGAGTATTCATATTATCTCCCACTCTCGACGGTACGAATCGAGAAGGACCCTATATAATACACACACTCATATCCAAATCTCACATACAATCGAAATCAGGCCGTCTCAAAATTTTGAACTACCCATGCGTATTCGGTTTTCGGATGTATATAAACCCGTTTTACAAATTTACGTTAACGACCAAACGGTTTTTTGGACCAAGCCGGAGCTTATGGTATTCATCGATTTGAGACGCTTTTTTTTTTGCTCAAAAACATTAGTTTAAAACCCAAACACAGGTACGATCACCAAAACGAGAATATCGAAAAACCCGCTTGTACAGTAAAATAATTGTGTTCATCGGCCGCTGTTGTCGAGTTGTCCGTTGAACGTGACGGCTAAGGGTTGCTTCCGATGACTAAGTGTGCGCGAAAAGGGTGCGAGAAAAGTCATTACTCTAAACGTTGTTAGTCAATGACGTCACGCTTACCAATCGTTTTGCACCAATTCACTTGTTTCGTCCGACCGAACGATTAATTGTTAAGTCTCAATTTACCGTCTTTGTCGAAACCACGAGACGTCTTGTCAATAACAACACCGCAATAATTATTATTATTGTTACCCTCCGTCCACCAAATCGGCTTAGCACGTGGTCGTAAAGTGACTTTCTTGACGACCGACAGATTACAGTGATCACGACGGTACAACAGAAACCACGCTGTAAAAACATTTTAATTGGGATTTTCTTTTAAAAAGTTTTCTCCGATAAATCTCAATACTTAACCTCAATCTCGGAACTCACAAATCGCGTCTCCCACATCACATTTGCGTCATGTAATAATTTTATTTCATTTTTTTACCGTGCGTCTTTGTAAATTTTTTTTCTAGGAAGAAAAAATTCACATTTCCGCGGTAATGCAACAGCGGCTATTCGTAATAATTATTATTTTATTATCGTACGTACATTTATGTCATTTTGGTTGTAATCATTTTTTTTTTTTTTTAATGTATACAGTCGTTTTGCGCGGTGTATTTATCGTTGTTGCGAAAGGTTTGCCAAAAAAAAAAAATGTAATATTATCATTATCCATATAAATAGATATACCTAATATATATATATATATATATATATATATATATATATATATACAATATGGCCTATTTATAATATAATAATATATAAATGTGCGTTAACAGGCGGCTGCTGCTGTAATCGTGTGTATGTATTATATGGGAGCTGGAAGATTGATATGGCGGCAATAGCGAATAGGGTGGATGGAAAATGATTTAAGAGAGTGTGTGTGTGTGTGTGTGTGTGTGTGGTGTAAACTGTATAGGTGAACAGGCGCATCGCACGCCGTCGGCGGGCTCTTTAGTAGTAACCGTGGAAGTACTCGGGTCGGCCGTAGTTTGTCGTTGGTCGAGTAGGCGCGAGACGTGCATAGTTTCGTGATCGCTATTTAACAGTGAAGATCGGATTAAAATTAATCTGGTCCACGCCAAAAGCTGAGTTTTTCCCGCAAGCAATCGGAATTCGACAACAAGTAAGTGGACGATTGTTTTCTTAACGTTTGAAACAATACGAATATTTGTAGTTATAGCTTTTTGCGCGGATATGTTTTATTTTGAAAAATAAAAATAAATACATATTTTATAGCACATAATAATATATTACTTCTTGCTATCACATCGGAGTTAAATTGATTAAAATAATTTCGTTAAAAAATCATAATTTAATTCACTTCCCGTTATTATGTTCGAGCGTAGGAATTACAAATTATTATTTTTTTTTAATTTGAATTTAGTCAAAAAAGCTATTTAATTATTGAACAAACGTGTGAAATTTCGGATAATTATTGCCATAAGTTCACCAAAAGACTTACGCCCAAGACGTGCGTCGGTACAGATTGTCGGTGTCATTGATCGAGACGCGTTTTGATTTATACATACTATTTGTATAAGCCTTTTTCGTTTCGTTATTGTTGTACACGGAATTATAATAATTGTATCAGTTGTGCACACAGTCAATCCGGCCAAAACGCATGGGTACGTGGACTTTGTGATCATCGCGTTTAACGTCGGATCGAGGCCACAAATTAAGCTTATTTGTTCTTCTTATCACAGTAAAGTAAAATAATACTACTAGGTGTAGTGATAACACGCACACACGCGCGCGTTAAACGACGTCCATCCGCCAGGATGACGTTAGATGCAAATATGACGGTAAACATCTTAAGAGCTTCATTTCCAATTGCAATTTTATTTCTCGATTTTGTACCGGCGCGGCACCGAATAAGTTTTGTAATGGACCAATAAACAATATCCGGTAAAATGTATAAAACAGTAGCAACACTAAAACTCGAGTCCTTAACATTTAACATTTACTATGGACTAAATGTGCATCGAAACTCTAAAAGAGTCTATGACAAGTTTTGGTAAATTATGATTTAAGAGTTAAGAGTAAAAAAAAAAAAAATTGTAATGTTTGTCACACAAATTATCACATTAAAAAAAATTCTTCATAAACAATAAATTGAACGTTTCATTAAGTTGTCTTAACTTATTGTTCATTACAACTTGATTAAAAGGATTCAATGCTTGATGAACGTTAGGTGACCAATCATTAGTGGTGTCTGTTGTTGGAAATTTGGAGTTGGGCGTTACGTTTTTTTAAGAAAGATATATGCTTTATATTTCGGCAATCGCAATTAGTCGTAACTTAAACTACGCTTTATTATCTATGAATGGTACCAATCAAATTACAAAAGAATAATCGGAATTTCCTATTCTCTCCAAACACCAGAGAATTTTCGCGGAGAGAACAATATGTTAAATTGAGCAATTTTTCAAGATCAAACCTAAATAAATCTTTATAATATAACACTTCAAGGTGAAGGGTGCATCGATAAGTCTCTTATAGAACTATAGCTACGCCGTTTTAGAAATAACTATAAAAATATTTACTATTAGTTGAATTGGACTCTTTTTAAACATTGTTCTGTCTTCAGGCTAACATGCGGAAAAACATGAGGTGTTAGTACAACGCGGAAGTCAAAGACTTAAGGACACGGCCGTCGATATGAAGAGGACGGCGAGGATGGTCTTGCTGATCCACGTTCTAGTGGGTTTATGGCCGGCCGTCAGTAGTTCTAAGTTTGCCATGGACGAGTTGCTTAACTCGATTTTCCCGAAGAAGATATCGAAAGACATCGATTTGGACCCTTGCAAAGCTGGTAAGTACCGCGTGAGAGAGAGGGGGAGGTATAAACTGTATACCCCAAGGGTACTTGTTGGTATATTGTGATTTAGCCGTAACAGCTGCACTGGTCGTCATTGAGGTGCAATTCAGCACATTTCTGTTAAACGCCAAAAGGGAAGTAAAATGTTTTTATTTCGCTTTGGTTCCCTGCCTTCTTTTAATAGTTCTTCGAATCTACGAAAAAAACGCTGCCTCAAATAAAAAAATATATATTTTCATTAGAATTTTCTTTCGATAAAACATTGATGAGAATTTTCATCCGACTGTTTAAGAGAAAAATAGGTTATTAATTCACTGAAAATTTAAATCTATTGAAAAAAAAACAAATTGTCGTTTTTTTTATATTTTGTAATTTAAAGCATTTTGCCTGTCTCGTTTTTGCAATAAATATTGTAATCTGCAGAAACAAAAAACTTTTTTAAGATTTTAATTATATTTTTTCTGCTATAAACAATGTATTTCTAAATCATTGCTGTATAAAAACAAAGTTCCATAGAAATCAACTTATCCCCTTTTTGTAGCGCGATTCATTTTATACTAGGATTATCTTATCACAGATAACAACCTTATTAAGAGTCGCTGGTCGCTGGAGTCTAAAATTTGAATATATAACCATTTTCAAACCATTTGAACCAACAGATTTCAAACATAAAATATAAGTTAATTTTTTAAACGGAGACATATTTAATTTAATTCTAATAACGGGTAACAAACATAATTGGTATTTTAATCGTGCCATTTTTTAAACTAAATATTGCATGTAATCATTTCATATATTGTACAATAAATACAAAATTATTACAGAATTGGCTATGGCAATTGACTCTTGGCTATGAACTGATATTTTGTTAAAAAAATATCAACAATCACTCTAAAACAATCATTAAAAATTAGTAGATATCATTATAAATGTATTATGAACGTAATAATAATGTGTTTGGTAATTTATTGTATATAAACAATTCTGTCAATAAATAAAATACGTTTGACCAGACAATTTATGAATAAAATCTTCCAGGTCTCATTTAGTCATATTTAGAAAAATTATTAATAATATTTACTATATACTTATAATTATGTGATTCACTACTGTATACAGAATACACTGCGTTTAGAATTTGTTAATTTATTATTGTAATTGTTAAACTATACGGATCTTGTCATAAAATTTAACAATAAGTGAAGTACTTTCATATAAATATAAAAGGGCCATTTAAATTTAATGTTTGTTTAATATTAATTTTAGCGCATGACGTTGTTCGTTAATCGTGGCTTTTTATCATTTAACCAATATTAATTTAAATAATCTTTACTTGTACAGTGTACTATCACATAGGTTAAAACTCATAATAGTTTATTTAGCTTGTTTATGTAACAAAAATGCCTAAATGCAATTTTTTACAAGACTGCAAGAAGCATAAAAATAAAATTGAACACTCCAATTCAATTATTCTGATAATTTAATCATTCTGATAAACATTGGCGTTTGTCGAAGTCTTCATAAAATATTTTCCGTTGTTAGATAATAAATCTCTATTAAACCCCTGATATATTATATCATTTGAAATAATTTACCTTTTATATTGATAACGACCAAAACTATAATTAATTAAATTTAAACAGTAAATAAGTTATTATAAAAAGCTTTTATTTATTATTTCAACATCAGTTTATTCTGACTTTACTATTGACGTGTTGTCTCGTCGACTTAAGTAGTATTTTTAAATAGAAGTAAAATAGTTTAAACAATCATTAAAACCTATTTCGTTATCCAACGTTAAGGACAAGTCTATTCAGTAACAAAATCAAATGATAACGTTTGCATTTACATTTAATTTATGATTTAATCAAATCAACAATAATTATATATCTTTTCAATGTTGTAAAAATGAGGCATAAAGACAAGATTGACGTTGAACAGAAAAACTCGCGAATTTTTTTAATACAAAATATATTTATATACTATGTTTAACATATTTTCATATTAATAATATGTCTTATCGTATATAGTACGAACCTTGTTACTTTCACTTATACGTGTACTTTGTCATTATCTTTGAAAACGAACGTACTTTTGTAAAACAAACTATAAACTTTGACTCATTTTGATAAGGGTGAATTTCATATGAATTCCGTAACGCAGTCGAGTCAAAAGACACATACTGAACGGTCGGTTTTGGGTAAATAATATCACTGAAAGTGTTTGCTTTATATCTCGCATTGACTGCATGTTGTACACAATATTATAATTTGAGAACTTTGTCAAGTCTATACAATTATTATTAAAACGCAGTGATTCAGTAAGTACCGTTTGTTTACTGTACAAAAGTTTAATCATTTTATCATCGCCTCAAGGAGCTATTCGGCATACGTCATGTTAAAACGCTCGCATGATTTTGTTAAACAAGAACTAATCTGGAAATTAAAAATGGGAGGGACTAATCTGGGCTAGGCTAGTCAAAATCAAATTATTATCTACTTGCTCTATTATTGTACTCTTAATTATTTTTTTGTCAATAATAATAATTTAACAATAGTAAAAACAAAGTCTTACGCGAATTTGTTCTTTCACAAATGTAACCACATTTAATTTGTTTTCTTAGCTTCAAGTACTAATGATTGTAAATACTAATTAGACTATTAGTAAAAAATAAAAAGAGACGGCCAAAGTCCTTCACTCTTACCATAGTTAGTTTCCACCTATAGGAGTTTAGGTTTAATTATTTGAATTCGATCATATGCACTTAATCTGTATTTTAATATGTAATTCGCTCGGGAAAATTGTGCCTTATTTTGGGTAAAAGCATCTTGAAAACAATGGGCAATATTCAACCCGTATAAGTTGTCTATTTAAATAAGACACGTAACCGAAACCACAGCTACTCAAGTACAAACCGCTCGCTCGCAGAATTAAATGGATCGTAGTGCGAGATTAAGTAACGTTGCTTTGTGTTTCTCTGACGTGATGTTAGCCTTAACTTTTAATCCCATCACAAGCTCGAGCTTATGGAGAACTAATTACTCATCATGTCCATTTATTATAATATACACAGCATGTCTACGCGACACTCTACATGTAATACACACTACCACTTCGGATTATATAATTTAATTAGTCAAAACGTAAAAAAAAACTCCTGTCAAGTAAACTTCTTACTCACTTTACTACTTTCTTACATATTATTTTGGGAACCTAAGATATTACCTATAGGTTTTCACAGCAACGGTAATAATATTATAGCCTACTACTTAGTACTGTTTAAAATAGGTTGTGTGCTTCTAGAACTAATTCATTTATTTTAAAAATATAGGTTTACTATTATAATATAATATACAATAACATTAATAAGCTCAAAGTGTTAACCTTTAAAACAACAGCATTTAATGCAAAACAAAAAAGTAGTTATATCGTTTAATTCTTACAAGTGTAAAACTCTGAAATGACCACAGTGGAAATTTGAAACAAATCAAAATTATCCATAAATATATTTTCTCACCGTACAATATACTTATCAGAAGTAGTATAAATCAAATATTTTATTTATATTTTGAACTTTTGTTAAGTATTATTAACACCAACTTAGTTAAAACGACGATAATCAAAATGCTATAAATGATACTTCTAAGCTCTAATTTCCGCATGAGTAGAGAGTAAAATGAAAATTATCATTTTTTTCAAAATATTGCTGTACAAAATCTTACAGCAAATATAGTTAGAAACGATTTCGTTAACAAATTCTACTGAATATTTATTAAAAATTACTGTAAAATCGAATCGCTGTAATTTGTGTAAGTTAGTTTCACTCAAACTATGAATTTTTTTTTCAAGTAATAATGTGAGTTGCGATCTTCATCTTGCAACTCTTTTAAAATACAATTTTAATTTGGAGTACCGGCACTGTACAGTGTTCAACCACTTCCGCCTTAATGGTGGTATACGACTGATATTTCATATCAAAACGCTTTTTCTTCAGATAAGATGGTTCATGGTTACATGGTCTTTTAGTTTGTATGACCTTAATACTAGTAGATATTGTTACGCAAATCTACTACCGCCACGTGCATTTATATGCGCTCAGTGCAATATCTCAAAACGTCTGGCGAGTTAGTATATAAATAGATGTATAATACACAAAGATACGGTTGCATGGGAGGCTTATACAATAATAAAGGCTCGTTTTCATAATCCTATAAATAAAAAAGTGAGCACGGACTGAAATGTCTATAAATGCATAGATAGGTAGAATAAATATAGATATAGTCATGTATATGATGTAGTAAAATAAAATTATATGATTCTAAATAGATATGAAATATGCTTTTGGCGTGTGTCTGTCAGCATCATTTGGTTTCTTGGGAAGTAGCTAATCATTACGGTGTTGGTCATCGAGATAAAAACCTTTGGATTAGTACCTACAAAACCGAGCCAAGCAAAAAAAAATAAGTAAAATATAATCCTATTAAAATTTGGTTTTGGTACCGCCAGTGAACTTGCCGGATCTTCGTGTTTCATCATCACAAATTATAATATTTACAAATTTCAATTGCCAATGTATATATTTATAAAAAACAAAAGGATTTTAAAAACAATAATTAAGATTACTAGGCATAAAATAAATGCGCAATCCAGTATTGTAAATATAGTTCTATAATCTATATATTACTTACATTACTTCAATGAAATAATGTTTAACATTTATGGAAAGAAAATTCACAAATACATGATGTAATCACTTGTTGTAATTTAAAGACTTATCTTTTTGCTATACATTTTAGTACGGAATATTTTTTTTAACGTGAATTGAACATTTGAATTTGTTTAGTACATGTAATCTTGTTATAAATTATTTATATGTTACAAAATATATTACAGCAAATTATGTGTTTAACATGCGGGATGTGGGTGTAGGATAATGTATTAATTTTAATGTCAATGAGTCTGGACAAGATGGTAATTCTATTTCATCTAGAAAAAATGACTATATGTATTAAATAACTCCTACTTATATTATTATAGTTAACTATATTTTTTTCTTTAATATTATTGTAATTTACTATACATGCTGAAGTATACTTATTATAATTTCAGGAAGTTTTATGGGTGATATAGCCGTGCCTGGAGTTGATTATGGCGATAAAAAAGAAAAGAACCGACAAGCGTATGCGGAAAAAGTGGAAAAATATAAGAAAGAAATTAATGAAGGACTCCAAATCGAAGAAGAGGGCATCATACAAGGGACAAAAAAAGTTGCCGACGTACCACAAATTAAGATCAGACACAGGCATAACAATAAGACAAGAAAAAATAATTTCATAAAGAAGAATACTGATAAACATAATACGAGTACAGATTCTTCATTTAACAGGTAAAATTATTACTGATGTATAAAAAGTTTTAACATCCGGTCGAAAACAAATAACACATTATACGATATTAACTGTTTTGTATGATACAATCGCTTAATATTGTAAAAATAAAAAACGTTATTATTTCTTCTTCTTCGTTACTTTACAATCGCAAAAATATGAAATTACAAATTATTACTTAGCGTAATCTTAATAAGTATATTCTTAGATTGTAAGGTTATATATATCGTATTTAATTGAGTTTGTTTCTAAAAATCATATGTCTCTATATATATGTATAATTATATAATCTAAGTATAAAATTTCAACGTAAATCGATAACTAATTTATGATTCTAATACTTATAACATATTTATGAACAAATTAAAAAACTAAGGTGAATTGTGATGACTGAACAATTGACTATAAGTAATGAATGTTTTTTTTAATGAAATTAATATTTTAATTGCAAATCTGTAATACTCGCAATATAAAAAACAACTAATTAATGGATGAGAAAATTTAGATTAATCCAAAAACTGATTAAAATTAACGATATGCTTTATTAGCTGAATTGAATGCTTAGAAATGTGTAAATATTTCAATTAACGAATTTCAGTAGTTTTTTTTTTAACAAAGTAGTCATTATTCATTAGCCATACAAACAACGTCATCAATTAATACGATATTTCCTTCCTAGTATTTTTTTACTACACTAACTAGCTACCTACAGCTATAATACTTTTTAGCTTTAAAAAATCTGAACTATTTTTTTTTCTTTTAATATTCATTTGCATCTTAAGACAAGTAAATCAGAGCTCCGTTAATTATAAATTTAACTTTGATATCATAAAACACAGGAAGTCATTAGTTTGAAATTATTTCCCATGAAAAAATCACTAAGAGTTTGGAGCATAATACATGATCTGCTTATGTATAACTTCTACCAACGATATATTAAACCATTTTTAAGTAAACCCCGCTTAAAGTTCTAATTAAAAGCCATCGTACAAGTGTTCAATTTTATCTACACTTCATAACTTGCATGTCAAAAACATATATATATTTTAATTAAAAAAAATCGTTTTTACAAATATTATATCTCGTTGAAACGGTAGTGATTTGTTCGATTGTAAAAATTCAAATTAAATTAAAAAAATCAAATAATTCAAAATACATTTTCGTTGGTACTCGAGTAGTTTGACAGTCGAGACAATATTTTTATAAGTATCAAAACCACGAATAATGTTTATTATTTAGAATATAAAATCTTGTAAACTACATTGGTGCAATAATAATAATAATACATATATCACGAATAATTTTATTGCATTTGTGACATAACTTTTATTTTCATTCGGTACTTAAATTAAATTTAACCGTCACTCGCTGAAAGGAAATTCACAATACTAACATGTATGCGACATCGCTCAATCTTCAAAATATTATGTTTGTAGTCACAACCGGTTGGACAATATTCTAGAAAACATATTATCACATTTGGAGCCGCATAAAATAAAAACGACCGTTATGTCTTAATACATATTGCGGCTCTATTTTAAGTTGTCGGGTAGACATAAAAACTATTGGCCAACAAATAACTTAAATGTCACCGTCGTCTGGCTAAATACAGTGCAAGTGACAATACGATATATTATTATAAAACCAATTTTTGTAATACATAAGATGGCGTTATGCAGTTCCTTATTATACGAGTACTATACGACGTGTGTCACACAATATCGAGGCTGTAAAACGAATAAATTGTTTCGGAAATCAAATTTAATTTGTGTATCGGTGAGCGGCGTAAGCGACATTATGCATTGTTTGTATAACAATATAACCGGTTAATCAAACGCATGTTAGGTTACCAGACTTAAACTGTCTCGATTTATAGCCAAGTCTGACGATGGGATGTCATTTTGGAATCTAATATAATATACCAATAGTACAATATTAGCCCGTCACAAAATCAACTGCCCACGAGACACACTGTAGAGCTATTGTTGATAAAATGTTCTTAAATTTGTGTTCAAAACAGAGGTCATGCTTTAAATTCAAGATGAAGTTGCCGCTGAGCAAACTAAACTTATAAAAAAAAAAGCCTCTACTCAAGATTAAATAGACTTCAAACCTATACACCTATCAAAAGTGTAGTCAATCGAACTTTATTAAATTGTTGTAATTTCCGTGCTTAATCATGAATATTACAAGTAGTAGGTTGCTATAATATTGCCCGTTGTTGGCTGGCGCGTCGCTCCGCAGCACAGAGAGGAAATTAGGTCATTTATAATATTACCAGGTACAATATTACCCTCGGATATAGTTCATAGAATACATATATAGACAAGACGGAAATCGTAACGGCAAATGGGGTTGGAGTGAAAATCGGCAGCCAATGTTTGCTACTGCTAGCGGGATGTTCATTTGTATTTGTTTTATAACGTTGTGCGATAAGTGCAATTAATAGACGTTAGATTATTATTTACTCAAATATCGAGACAATATATCTAGCCTATAAAAAAAAATCTCCTTACAGAGTTGAGCATGTTTTCATCCAAAAAAAAATTTGTCGAATAATATGTGTATATTATCAAAAAAAAAATGCTTGTTTGATCTAACAACAGAGTTGAGCAAGTTTTCATTATGTAATTTAGATACAACGCTATTCGAATAATGCCTAATTCTGTTTATAGACTACATCAATATGTTGCGTGATTAACGGGAAACGTTGATGTTTAAGATTTAATGTCACAATTCATCATTATTTGAATAACATATTATTTGATTTTTTTTTTTTGCATAATACACAAGTATTATCCTCCGGTTGTAAATGCTATGACAACAAAATGCTACTAAAATTTTAATTTAATTATAATGATGTTTTTGAGCAAAAAATAATAAATAAAATAAGTTTTGTTTCGATGTACAATGTACAGTTATTAGATTAGTACGTTCATAAACTTGTTTTGTATGCAAATCAAATGATATAGTGTGAATAACGAGGCTGTTATTAGCGGAAACGATGTAGGAATAAGAAAAATGTATAAATGTCAACAACACAGTACTCATAACAAACAAACGTTATAAAATAAGTAAGTATCACACATTGTGTTTACCAATAATTGAATCATTAAATTCGCCACGGTACATAATAATAATATGTAAACATGTCTTATTGATGTCACATTCTATATTGTATTGTTTGTGTATTCGGTAATTATTATTGTTATTATATTATTAAACGTTTACTATGTCAAGCAAGAAAAAGTGCAATACGTATAATATGGCATAGCGCAATTATTTGTTATTAAATAGAAATGGATGTATATTTTTACAGCAATCTAGTGCATTCGAGAAGACGCAGGGCGGCTACTGCAAGAAAAGAGAGAGTATGGGACTTTGGCGTTATACCGTACGAGATCGACAGCAGTTTCGGTGGCCCTCACAAAGCACTGTTTAAACAAGCCATGAGACACTGGGAAAACTTCACGTGTATCAAGTTTGTCGAACGAAACCCAGAAGAACATCCTAATTACATTGTTTTCACCGAAAGGCCATGCGGGTGAGGAGACGTTTACTAACATAACATTCATAATACAAGCAATAGGGTGTAACGCAAATGCCATACATTAATACAGACTACAGTATTACTAATGTATAATATATACAATATATAACTAATACCAACACTATAGAAGGTTTGTTTAGTAATATAATGATAAAACATTTAAAATAATACCCTTGACCATCAAAATTAATAAACTTTCAGTAATTATCATTGTAACCGATGTTAAAATTTTTAAATTATTTTATTATTTAACTTTGTCTAACTACAATTGTTCAGGGTATTTCTAGGTATAAATAGGTAGTTTAGATTGCTTAAATATCGAGAATTAAAGTTTAAGTTTATAAATTATTTTTGTTTCCCGTAAATGTTTTTGTTTGTATAGAAAACCAAAAACCGCTAGTTTTTAATTTTTACGTATTATAACAGGTGACAATGCTGACACACAATTCATCACATGTCAAGTGTTTGTATAAAAAACATTATGTACAATTTTATCGTACATCGTTAGATTTAATTTTTCGACTTTACAAATATACTATAATAAGAAGTTCAATTTCAATAAGAATGACATTGAACCCGATGTTACAAACTGTCAGAAACATTATTTTTTTACCTGGCAAATCACTCAAAAAGTAATAATTATTTCAAACGAACAAATATTTTATCATTCTACAAATGGTATCGATCAACGAGACTGATTTTTTTATTATCAATGACTGATAGTACTTTAGAAACAGTTAATTTATCAACAATTAGGTATTCCCTATAGCTCTGTAACTCAAAACTCGAACAACAATGCCATTTTTAAGAAAATTAGACCCAGACTAAAGAACGTTTCAAATTCTGAATGCCGTTACATGAATTTAGTCATGTTTAAATAATTGAATTTCTGTTTGAGAGAGCCTAAAGATAATTCTTACATATCCACTATCGTACTTTAATTTAATTTTTAAACGTATAATAATAATATTTATTTACGTTTGGACTTTGGCAACCCATTTCCAAAACAAAATATTTCCGCTATTAGTTTAAGTTGAATATTGTATTTACATATGTTGACGTCGCGTGGTTTTAGGTGTTGTTCTTTTGTCGGGAAACGTGGAAATGGACCGCAGGCAATATCCATAGGGAAAAACTGTGACAAGTTTGGCATCGTGGTGCACGAACTTGGACATGTGGTCGGATTCTGGCATGAACATACCAGACCCGATCGTGACAACCACGTGCAAATCGTGAGAGACCACATCATAGTGGGTACGTTGTACATGCATAATATTATTATTAACATAGCAAGCTATGTGCGCATTATAAATATGTTTTTTTTCGACAGAAAAAACAGTATATTATGCTATCTAATTATAGTGAAATATAAAAAAAAACCAATTCTAAAGCAATAGCTCTTTACGTGATCTTGCATGAAAGCCTGTGTTCTTAATTATTTCAGAGTTAAAGTTTTGTTAACAATGATAAATTGTATATTACCATGTAATACAATAATACGACATTTTAAACTAAAAATAAAATCCTTAAATGCTTAACAAATTCTCTAAGCTTAACTAAACATTCAGGCCAATCGCTGCCTCTCCTGAAGAGGAAGTTTCAAACTAAAAACAAATAGATAGTTCAAAATATTATTTTATCAAAGTATTTAATCCGTTATTTTTCTTATAAATATTAACCCCACTTCGGATTTTCATTAATTGTTTCGATTGATTTTAATTACCTAATACATGACAAGTACAATCATTTTTGTTCCTTAAACACTAACAAACCCTAAATACACGTTCTATAACTTGAAATGGGATTTTTGATTACCGAGGTTCATAATGTATCACCATAAATGTTACTATGCAGGGTTGGTTTGTGAGCTTCATCATTAATCATCAATATCGCTAGCCAAATTAACCGAACAACCTCGCAGTGATTTATCAAAATAATCAAATGTATACTATTCTCAAAATACTCTCGTTTGCTTTAAATTTTCAACAAATAAACTAAAAGGTAGAATAGAGATTGGAGTGGCAAAAATAAAACGAAAAAGTTAAAATATTAAGAAATGTATTTTAAGGGCTTAGTTAAATTCTATGTAAATTCTTACAGTCCCCCAAACGACGTCCGTATACATAGCTTAATACAATTTAATATTACAACAGGCCAAGAGTATAACTTCAACAAACTCACGGAGGAGGAAGTCAATTCATTAGGACTTGCTTACGATTATGATTCTATCATGCATTATGCCAAAAACACGTTTTCGAAGGTAAGTTATTATAATGTAACCTTTCTTTATGTTTACTTTAGTAATCAGTATAAAGTGTAAATTTAAAGTCTATTGGTTAATTTGATAGCATAATTAATTATCAACTACAATACTATTACAAACAATAATAATTGTGATGATCGGATGGAAATATCATACGAGTAATCAAAAGTTGTCAAGTTTAAAACAGACCAATTAAATATACGCAAGAATAAATAAAACTGTTTTTTTTTTAGTTATAGTAATTAATAAAATGTATTAATTATTATGTCTCGGTAGATACGAAGAAAATATATTTTAGTAGCTCTTAATTCAATAAAATTAAATCGAATACCATTAATACATGTAGCTCTGTTAATGGAAAAATACTGTTAATCATTTTCTAGTGTTGTTGTAACCGTCTTTTGAAAAAATATGAGCCTTTTTGTTTGTACTAAGGAAAGAAACAATTACCGAGTAAAGCATAATCGAACACTTAATGGGGTTTAATGTAGTGTCAACTTGTCATACTTGACAAGAATAAAAAACTGAAAATCCCCATTTACGATCGACACGCAATTATACTTAGGGTTTTCGTTTTAACGCTAGCTTTTGTTAACTTTTGTTTCTTGGAAATCTTTCTCAACTACTTGAAAATTTCGCTTTGTTATGATGAACGGTATTTTGAGGCTACCGCACCGTGCGCTGTTGATATTATATTTTTCAAAAGTTCTTTTTTTCGCCACGTGCAGATTAGTACATAAAGCCTCGGCCGTTTAATGAAAACTAAGTTTATTTTAATCCAGCTGAGAGAGTTTTACGTTAGTTATTAAATTTCACGTTCGTTGATACAAATTAAGTATGAAACATTAAGTATGTTTTATGAAAATAACTGGCGTTTTAAGTAACTTTTGATTACATTTCAATTGTATTATGTTATAATGATGTGTTGAGTATTTTGCTTTATTCTACTTTGTTGGCGTTTAGTTTTACTACATTTACATGATTTGAATTCCCGTTTAACCTAATTGATAATGTTAACACAATCTTATATTATATTGATGAAAAACTAGGTATTTCATAACACTGCGACGGTTGATTTAATTTGATTTTGATAAGGAAGTCTGTTTTAGTTGAAACGCGCACAATATTTCTCATTAATTCAATTTGCTTCTTACAATGCTTCTTGTGTAAATCGTGGTACCGTTTTCAAGTATTATATTATTATTTTAATTTATTATAAATATCAAAATTGACGCAGTAACGTTTTTGTACATGTTATATTATTGTGAGATACTTTTATTAAATATGTTTTTTTTAAAATCGTTTCTTGTAAACGTTTCCAAATTCTTAACAATTTAAATCTAGGTCTAGTCCGGTAATTTTTTAGAGTTGCGCTAATTATAAAAGTACCGATACTCGCAAAATACAAAGTTACAGTGTAATGCGCGAAAGTTAAATGGAATAAAACAGTATTTTGATTAAACCATTCATTTTTTTTTAGTACATTTTTTTCACCGAACGAAATTTGCGATAATCCACAAAGTTTTAATACCGTTTAAATGCTTTCTGTACAATATAGGCCAAGCATTTTATTTTATAGCTTATACGTGTGTTAATGCACATCACGTGCATGAACTGGGATTGAGAATGGTTAGATTGCCATGACACCAAATTAAATTTAGGGTTATAATAGGAAGCATATATGAATAAACATATACAAATAAATGGAAAACCGGAAATAGAAAATGCTAACGGTTTAACGCTCGTTTAACAGCGTTTGACGTTTCCATTTCGCATTGTTTGAAAATTTAAATTGCACTGTTTCCTGTTTTTCCTCTTATACCCGATAACTTGCCAAACATAATTATTCTTTATTTAAATATGAATTATATTATTGAAAAATAAATTACATTTCTACAAAAAAAAAAAAAGTAAATAATTGCTATACAGTGTAGCATACAAATATTACCTAAAATGTTCTGTTCACTCTAGAAAATACAACTATAAGGGTATAATTTAATTTAAAAAATTCAAATTGACTTCACTTATTTTGCATTCGGGTTAGAATCATATGAACACATCGACTTATCTGACTGATACATATTAAGTATTCACTAAGAATCATTTTTACGCGCATCGTCAGTTATTTATATCGTTAGAACTTTATGGCATCATATAAGTTGAGGCGACTTAAAATATTTTACACCGTAAATATAATAGGCTTATATTAATAAACTCACAACTTGTAAATACGATTATTCAATTTAAAGACTTAACTTAAAATACACAGAAAACCATTAACTTTTACTAAAACAGTTAAATAATTAACGGTTTAATATAACTAAACAAAATATCTTACCTGTCCCAAATGTGTTGCAATTTTTTGGTTTTTTTTTTAATGCATTTTCTTACACAATTGTATGACCCGTCATTATTTAAGCTGCACTATTGGAAACCTTTTGTAGCTTGATATGTTATGTAAGCTGTTGTAAACTATGGTAATGAACTGTAAATAATCTACTATATAAAGTAATTCGATGTTTCTTTTATTATTTTAGAGGTTATAAACAAACTTATACTTCATATACATATTTTGTAGCTTTATCTTTATTTTTTTGAAATATAAAACGTAATTCAGCAAAAAAATAAAGGAATTTCCTAAAATCCATAAAAATAATGTTAATCACTGACTCTGTAAGAGGTAACACAATTATTTTTGCTTTTGTGTGAAGCTGAAAGGTAAATATTGTTTTTTAATTAAAGCGTTTTTTTCCACTCATAACTCTTGAACCGCACTTACCTTATTTAAAATGCAATTATTTAATTTACATTTTAAACGATTGGTTCAATGTTGTATATTGACTTATTAGTAGTTAAACAGTTGATATTGATGCCGATCTGATAAGTTCTATGTTCACAATTTGTTTAGAATTATTTTGCTCGATAGATTTTTTTTAATATGTTTTCAAATTAACTTGACAGGCTCATAACGTGATGTATGCTTATACAGCACACTTTTACTTAATCTATAAGTAAATCATTTTCAATATATATTACCACCCACGTGACGGTGTTTATAAAAATTATTAATGTTTACAGTCATAGCCGAGTGTGTTAAAATAATACAAATAAAAATGTATGTACGACACAATTTTTCAATAGTTTCTTTTATTCTTCGTCGTTGGATGTCATTAAATTTAATTTATTTAACTATCAAAATCACTTAAAAATTACATAAAGTTTAAAAGTCAAAACAAATGGAGATTGTTCAACATTTTAAAGGTTAACCTGAATAGAAATTATGTAGTGATTGGTCTGCCAAAACGAATATTGAATGTAGCTTATTAAGATCAGTACAGTTTGAATAATACAGTTTTACGGTTAGAAATACTTCAAATATGTCACAAAAATAAATGAATTACTAAATGAACAAAATTAGATATTGATTTTTTAATCGATTATGTCAAAGGGCTCATACTTGGAAACTATACATCCAATTGACGCAATAAGGAATGCAAAGAAAAGACCGGAAATAGGACAGCGAGTTCGTCTCAGCGAAGGGGATATCGCCCAGACAAAGCTGCTGTACAAATGTTTCAGTGAGTAAACAACTCGATGGTGCTCGATAAAAACTGTCTAAGTAAAACAATTTGCGAAACTGAGTATGTAAATATTGAGATTCCGAAAAACCATACAAGTCTTACAACGTTTTTATTAGTAGAGTTAGGATATGTTTTAAATTTTGAACACTGAACATTTAAAATTTTCAGACAGTTTTTCCCAAGCACCATCTTTAAAAATTAAATTAAGTATTTTAAATAACTCGCATAGACAGTAAATTTACTAAAAAAAATGCGGTATAATCAAATTCATAAATTACCAAATACTTTTGTTATTGCATTTTGATTTCCTAAAAACAGTAGTCTAAAAAAAAAACAAAACAAATTCATATTGTGAAAAGGTATAGGTATCTATTTATCTTTATTCGAAATTTGTTTTTCGGTAAAAAATTAACAACCTATTGTACATAAATTGTCATAAAAAACTAAGCTAGGTTTTTTAAAATCCAGAAATCTTCAGTATTTAATTAAAAATTTGCCTTTTAATGAGTGAATGTATATCCACAAAAGTTTTTTAATCCCAAGCTTTTTAAAAAAATCGGGTTTTCCCCAACTCTGAATATACTTTTGGTAATGTTTTTTTTAAAAATAAATGTTGTGGTAACTATTGACTTTTTTGTTTTTATTTAAATAGAATGCGGTAAAACGTTGCAAGAGAACAGTGGTATTTTCGGTTATTCGCCTGAGCCCGGACAAGAATACGGTGATCGTTGTGAATGGCGGATTACAGCTACACACGGTGAGCGAATAGTGTTAAACATCACTGAGCTGGACATACTCAAATCCGACCAATGTAGCACGGATTACTTAGAAATCCGGGACGGCTATTGGCATAAGTCACCATTGCTGGGTAAGAGTAAACGCATTTTTTATTTGAAAAAATAAACGTAACAAAATATATATTTTACGGTCTCTACAAAAACAACACTATATAAAACTTTAATGGCGTTTTATTTTAATTTGAACTTTAAGCTATTTCTTTAGCACAGCACCGTCAAACTTAATTATAAAATATATTTCGTGTGTATTTTTAAGTGTTTTTGAGTAGAATATTGTTTCTCAGAACTTCTTATTGAAAAGCTCTGTTGATTTCGAAAAAAATGGTTTGGATGGATAAATACGGTTCAGTCAATAAAATATATAAACAGAAAAACTGTTAATGGTTATATTAATTCATGAGTATATTCTTTAGACACAATTCCACCAAACATTTTATATTTACTATTAAACAATTTTATATATATATATATATATATATGTATAAATAATTACATATAGTTTATTTACTTTGTACACGTTTCACAATTAAATTGTGACTTCTTAATTACTATTTTTTAATATAATAATAGTTAAATACAAATTCAAAAAGAAAATAGAACGGCAGAACCGATTCTGATACTTTTTTTTACATAATTGACCATAATTCGCTAACCGTCTCTAAAAATGATACTTTGTGTAATAAAATATTATAGAGGCTCGACTTTCAAAGTTTTAAGCAAAGATGTTACTAAAATGTTCAACCGATCAAGTTCAAGTTTGGTTTCTGCGAATACTACCTTATTTAGCAAAATTGCTAGCTACACGTACAAAACACTTGACAAGTACTTAGATTAACACTAAGCTCACATTTTGTAATAGTTCACTCGTTGGCAAGATCCTGACGTGCTTTGAACGACGTTTTAACTGTCAAACTTAAACGATTATTAGCATAGTTTCAAATATTAAATGCTTATAATAAGCTGAAGCCGGGTCTAATACTACAATAGCTAGTTTTAATATAAAAAAGGCCATAATTACAATTTTTCAACATTAAAAAAACGAGAATTCAAATAAAACGCTTTACACGTGTAAGGATGTTAGGACATGTAATTTCACGGTTACATTTGTTTCCAGCTAAAATTTATTGTTGGGGATATTTATAGGAAGGTTTTGCGGAAACGGCCGTGTTCAAGATTTGATAGTGACGGCTAACAGTAGGATGCTCATCAGTCTCATGATATCTGACAAAGGCGCCACTTTCAAAGGATTTACAGCGAATTACGAAGGTCTGTAGAGCGCTTTACACTAAGCAAAAAGTACTAAAATAGAGTTGTAATTGTATTTCTCGATTTCGGTTTTTTATTATTTAGCCGTTTGCGGCGGTGAAGTCTTAGTGACTGACGAACAGGGTCATTTGGAGTCGCCCAATTTCCCTGACGACTATTTGCCAAACAAGGAATGCGTCTGGAAGCTAACAGCACCGGAAGGCTATCAAGTCGGATTGAAGTTCAACGTATTCGAAGTGAGTTATGCCAATTTAGTTGTAACGCATTTTTACAAATTGTCGATGGTTGTTTTAAATCTTGTAGCGGTACGGTTTGAATGAGTTTAATTAAAATATTAAAAATTAATTAATTTTGTCTACGTCGGTAAGGTTAAACAATGTGTTCTTACTTTTGCAGATAGAAAACCACGATAACTGTTTCTACGATTATGTTGAAATAAGAAATGGACACAGCGCTGATAGTCCTTTGATAAATAAATACTGTGGATACAAACTACCCTTGGACGTACATTCCACTACAAATAAATTGTACATTAAGTTCTTATCGGACAGTTCGGTACAAAAGGCAGGATTTTCTGCGACATTCATGAAAGGTATTCTGACAATATGCTAGAATGTCTATGACGTTTTCTAATTTAGTTTTGTCATGTTTGTTGTCGTACGCAATTTTGCTTTATAAAAATGTATTGTAGCCCACCGACAAAGATGAAGTACTCGGATTATTACTTTTCGTCTTAAAGCAAAAGTTTCGAACATTTTATCGCCGTAGTGCTATATTCTCTAATAACTAATTAAAATGTTAAATATTATATATCAATATATTCAGAGCATACAATTGCATCCCATTGATCAAGTTTCAGGGAAAAGAAATTGGCATGACAATTGTAACATTTTTTTTTATAAAATTAAGATAATGTCAATTGCTATCAATTAGTTTTAAAGACAGACTTTTTTTTTTAACATCGTCTAAAACTAATATTTTATGTATTTGATTTTAGAGTACGACGAGTGCACTTCGGTAGACCACGGCTGTGAACAATTTTGCATAAACACGATGGGTGGATACGACTGTGCGTGCAAAGTTGGCTTTGAGTTACACTCCGACAATAAACACTGCGAAGGTAAAAATATAAGTTATTCTAATTCGGTATACATAGTTTATAATTATTGGGTTTAAGGTAAACGGTTCTACGGTAAGATTGATAGAAGAATCCATAAACAACAGTGTAATTATAAAAAGGCGCCTGGTGTATGCAATAAGACAGCATGTGTGAGTAGGATCTGAAAGTGCACTAGTCAGGCGCCTTCGAAGACTTGTTATCAGAAAATGTCGACACTAAATGAGTTTCTATTGCATAAAAAATATATTATATCATATAATATATAATAAGGTTTAGGTTGGATTAGGTTTCTTTTAGTTAGTAAACCGCTCTAAAGCTCTTTAGAGGTTGTCGCTGCTTTAGTCTAAGGACTTTAAATGAAATGAAAGCCAACCCGTAATTCCAATATATATATATATATATATATATATATAACCATACATAAGTGGTCATTTACTTATGAGTATATAGAATTAATTTATTCCTTAACTTTACGAAAAAAGTAACCGAAAAATAGTTGTTGCATTTTAAAAACCGATAATGACAGAATCTGCTCAAAGACTAACACCTGTTACCAATAATAATTGAAAGATGGCCTAAATTTAAACCCTTTTTATTTCACAGACGCATGCGGTGGAATAATCGAAGCCACTAACGGAACAATAACGAGTCCTTCGTTCCCTGATCTGTATCCCGGAAACAAGAGCTGTATTTGGGAGATCATAGCACCGGCGCAATTCAAAATAACGTTAAACTTTACCCACTTTGATCTGGAAGGCAACAACGTGAGTTGATTAAATTTCTGTTTTCAATTTTAACAATATTATTACTTTTAATAATGAATTAAATTTAATTTTCAGTTGCATCAGGTGAGTGCGTCGGGTTTGGCCGGGAAAAACTTGTGTCATTGTTTCTTTGGACGCATCTGTCAATAACGTAAAGGTTTTTTTTGTTTTGACGATTAATTGAGTTTGTTTGTGTGAGTTTTGTTTAGTCCGAGTGCGAATACGACCGAGTGGAGGTGTACAGCAAAATTGGATCGGACAAACTTCGCAAGCACGGCGTTTACTGTGGACAAGAAGCGCCTTCCATGATAACTTCTGAAGCCAACGCGCTCCGTGTGGAATTTGAATCTGACAGTTCCGTGCACAAGACTGGATTCGCTGCTGTGTTTTTTACCGGCAAGTTCTTATCTAAGCCATTGTAAAATTGTTGCTCTTACTTACCCAGTCATTGTTCAAGACATTTGTTAGGTATTCAATGTTTTACTCATAGTTTCAATTCGGTTTTTTTTTATCGAATATTAAAAAGTAAAAAAAAAAAACGTCAGAAATAATATTGTGGTTATTTATTTTTTATCAAGTATGTATTGACATTAAATTTGTGACTTACTATTGCAGACATGGACGAGTGTTCGATCAACAATGGCGGGTGTCAGCATGAGTGCAAAAACACACCGGGTTCTTATGAGTGCACGTGTAACAATGGTTTCACTTTGCACGAGAACAAGCATGACTGCAAAGAAGGTGGATGTAAACACGAGATATCGGCTCCTCATGGCAAAATCAGTAGTCCTAATTACCCGGACGCTTATCCCGGCCGGAAAGACTGCGTTTGGCATTTCACTACCACCCCTGGGCACCGGATTAAAGTGGTGAGTTATAACAGTGTAAATATATTTCTCTGATGTTAATGCGGTCTTTGGGATTTCAGATATTCGATACCTTCGAAATGGAACCTCATCAAGAGTGTGCCTACGATCATATAGTATTTTACGATGGTCCTACACCGGATTCTCAAACACTGGGAAGGTTTTGTGGCTCGAAGAGTCCACATCCAATTGTCTCATCGTCAAACCAACTGTACTTGGCGTTCAAGAGCGACGCTTCGGTACAGAGAAAAGGATTTTTGGCTACGCACAGCACAGGTGACGAAAATTATACATTTTCCATATAGATTCATCCATATGTGTAAATTTATAAGTATTTATCGATTCGTATGTACATATGTTGAAAAAAAGCTAATACCGTTGGTTGGAGGCATAGCAGTGACAGAGTATGTATATTGGAGGGAGCGGGGTGAGATCGCAGATCTATAAGAATGATTACAACTGCAAGTGATAAAAATCACTTTCAAATAAACGATTCGACGCGAATCTGTAGATGGTAGAACTACAAATATCGATAAAAGCATTTTAATGATAATAATGTACTTAAAATGGTATTTTTACTATTAGGGTGCATACGATTAGGGTGATCGTTTGTCCATAATAATATGTTGCTGTTATTTCCCATGTATCGCAATTAACAACATAATAAACTATTTTTCAAATACTTATTGACTGTTGATTTAATCTCACATAGCAATCTAGAAATTTGCTATAACCGAGTTATAATTTTCCCCTTTTTTTATGGTTAATCCTTAATATTAAAAAAATTGTTTAAATTATAGCCTCACTATAGGTCTCCAGACCTTAAGTATAATTTTAGCCTTAAAACGTCACCTTAAAAAAGCGACATAAAGAAAAAGTTTATACCTTTACTAGGGGAAAGGGTTTATGATATTTTTTTGGGCTATCAACGTTTATCGGTAGTACTTACCTAAATAATATTGGCTACAAATTCGGTACTAATTTAACTACTTTTAAAAAGTTATAGAGCGCTGTATGTTCAAGTAAGAAAATATGTACATTCTTGGGGTGTTTTTCTCGGTTTTGAAGGGGAAGGGTTGATTTTTTTTACATAAAATAATAATTATCATATTTATGTGTCGATGAACTTTGAAGTAATTATCACATTTTTATTTTGTCATTGTTTAGTTTGTGGCGGCAGATTAATAGCAACAAACCACGTGAAACACTTGTACTCTCATTCGAATTACGGCGATTTGAACTACGACAGTGACTCAATGTGCGAATGGACCATCGAGGCCAAAGCCAACATGAACGTGCACTTGACGTTTTTGACGTTCGAATTGGAAGAGGAAAAGGATTGTATGTACGACTTCGTGGAAGTCTGGAGTAGCCTGGACACGAGCGGGCCGTTCTTCGGCAGGTTCTGCGGACCGACAGTAAGCTAGACACTATAATATAATCATATATTTTCCGTCTTGACTCCAATTAGAAACCTATTCAACAACGTGGGTTTGTACTTTCAGAATCCCACCGACGTGATATCGATGAACGACGCCCTGTTGATCCGATTCAAAACCGACAACACTATCGTCAGCAAAGGGTTCTCGGCATCTTACATCGCCGTCGAGTCCATGACGCCCAGCTCGGAGTATTCGTCGCAGATAGACGAAGACGACGATTTGCTGTACAAGAAAACCAAAACCAGAAACGGCCACGACAACAACGGCGAAGACGACGGTGACGACGACGACGACGAAGACGAAGACATGCAAGCCAAGAGTCCGTGACGGAGAATTATTTGCCAATACAATTTGTTTGAGAATAACTACTTAGTTCGCTAGCGATTTTTTGAATTTTACCTCTGACGCCCGACCGGTGTGTCTTTTAACTCCTAGCCTAACCGCCATTGAAGTCATGTGCCAAATTAGGGACGTTCAACATGATATTTTACCTATATTATATATTGTATCTACTACCTACTATATAGTATCGATTATTATATTGACCATACGGTTATTGACAACAAAAAAAAAACGTGAACCGTACACGGATAAAACCAATACCTAAGTGTACAACGTTTCAACTTTTATTATTACACTATTATTAAAATTATTATTATTATTATTGTCGACTAATTTGTGATTCGCGATCTCTGCCAATTATTTATGATAATATTAAATTTAAATCTGACCCACTCTGTGTGCTCCATCAACAATAATAATATAATCCATTTACACGGCAATATTATTATGTCAGTGCACATCGGTGGTTTTAGATTTTTAAAATAGTATTGTTCAGCCATTTGATTTAGTGTAGAATTATCGTTTCAACGACTTAAAAAAATCCTGACTTTCTTTATTTCGATTGCCAGATAACGTCGTAGATGTACGCCGTTTGAATATCGTATTAAACTTTTGTGTGATTTGTTTTTAAAATTATAATACAACCTACATTAATTATTAACTATAATTATTAAAAATATATTATCGAGTCGTTATAAACTAATAAACTTATTTCTCGAGTGTTTTGCGTTTTTTGTTTGTAACTTTACAAAATATGATCTTATCAAATTCTGAATTTTTACCGGTATTTCTTTCCTGTGTCAGCCGCTGTTTGTTGAATATAATATAGACTGGATGTAGGTGTATTACTAACTGTGTAAATAGGTTACATCTTCTAATTTATTTTGTACTAACAACTATATATACTATACCTGATATAATCAAAAAAACACAAATAACAGTTATATAAAACACGAAACAATAAAGTATGGTAGCCATTTTTAATGAATTTTCGTTCCATCAATTATATATAATACAAATGGTACATATTACATATGGTACAAATTGGCTTTGGTGTGTAGTGCATCTTATGTACAATTTAAATGCAGTTAATTCAATTTTTGTGCGTCTAATAGTATTGTCAGCCTGATAACTTTACTTACCAAACTGAAACGGATTACCAATAGCGATTTTAATCGTCGTTAATAGGTAGAAAATTCGTTTGCGCTATGACATTGCCATTAATCATTGCAATTTGCACACAACGTCAAACTATTTGATTAACTAATATTATAGTGTACATTAGATTGCCATTGCGCCAGTGCAACCAAGTAATTGTTCTTAAGTACGACATAAACAAACAGCACATAATATCTATTTGATCGTTCGTGTTTATAGAGGTGTTTATGTCAGCTCCAACCGTTTACTGCTACGAATTTACATAATATTAGTATTATTATAGTGCGATACTGATGTATGTGTATATCAGACTTGATTACGAATAATGTACTATTATTAAATCATCATAAATTTGTGAATAATTCATACTATCTTAATAACAAAGTATATCTGTATGTAGATAGAACCTACTCGAAATAGACTTTAATTACATTTTATTTCGTACATAATACTGCCTGAACGTTCATTTCAGATGGTTCTTGTTTTTTTTTAATTGAAAAAAACTCTGATTTCAACTATATAACTTATACCAAATCGCTTAGTAGTAACCTTAATACATTTGTTTCTATGCATTTCGCGGTTTCAACTTACATTTTGAATTGTTCATATAACTGTATAAAAATACATTTTGTAGGTGTAGCAAAACGAAAAAACAATTAATAATACTAGTTTCCTAATTCTCGTTTCATAAAAAACAATTAAAATATAATAGCGGCGATTATATAAGTTTAATTATTTTAAACAAGGGTGGGAAATAGAAATTAATTTTTTTTTTTTAATGAAAAACAACAAATTAATTTGTTTTATTAATTTGTGTAATGCAGTATCATTTCATAATAATTAAAAGCAATCGGTATAAATTAAAAATTGTCATTACTGTATTAATAAAATTACATTCACATTAACCACCTCGTTATTGTTTACAAATATCGCACCTTAATAATAAACAATATATTTTTAAATTAGGAAGCGATAACTTCCGTGAGTAATATTGCTAAACACGTTTCATGTTTACTGCCTTATCGACTTAATGCTAATTATTTTATATTTTTAAAACAATAAAACATGTATTCGTACAAAAATAATTAAGAATATATGACACAATAATATTATAAGTAAAAAAAATAATCGAAGGTCAGTCTCTGGTAAACGCTGATAATAATTATGTTATTGCCAAAATATTACAATACATCCTGCTAGTAGGTATGCCATTTTGTGGTTTTAGGCAATTTATTTTATAACCTATTCCAAATTATATTGTTTGCTAAATGATATTTTGTTCGATAAACAAAATAATTTAGTTCACCTTGTAAACATCAAGGAATTCGCGTATGTTATTGATTTATGTTTTAATAAAATTATAACACTTCACAGTTTTAGCAATTAGTTTTTTACTAACTTTTGAAAAAGCTTGTAGGTAGTACCGCTGCAATAAGTGCCAACTAGTGCACTAAGCACCAACAAAATATTATCATTTAAAATTTTTAAGTAAAATTAAAGATATTCAAATGTCGACGGTGAGGATTTATTATCTATAACGATTGTACGATTAGACACAATTATTATTCGAGTTGAGTCAACGCGCACTATATAGGTCGATGATGGAAACTGATTGGTTGTGATTGGAATACGAATATCATTATTTGACATTATTGAGTTATGAAACATTGTGGTCACCGCCGTTAAAACGATCAATTTGTATGGAGTGTAGACGATTCAACAGAAATATCGTTTAACTTGTTTGCAATATAAACGAATCCAGATAACATCAATGGCATCGCTTCGACCTACAGACTGATATTTTTAATTGCTTGTTACTCAATACATAATTGTATACTAATACGCTATAGCAATAACGACTAATATAACCGACTTCAACACTAAAACATATGACTTGTTACGGGCTGAGGTCGTTTTGGACATGTTTTAAAAATGTTGGTGTACCGAATACCTCACTATTGTTTAGGGATAGTGTGGTAAAAAATATATTTTTATAGAATTTAATAGTATGTGTTTAAAATATTTGCACTTTTAAGTACTTTAATTACTACTCAAATATATGTTTAAATTGTTTACTCGAATACTACTCAAATACTTTTAAGTACTTAAAATGTATATAAAACAAAAATCATAATATAATAAAATAACATTAAAAAATTATTATTATTTTTAGACAGGCTAAACTTCAAATATGTTGTGTAAACAATTTGTTTAAATAAGACAAGAAAAATGAAAACCCTTTTGTAGCGGAATATGCTAATTTTGTTAAACAAGACAATACGAGTACGTAGTTAAACATTTATATCAGATTACAATTGACCATTGATAGGTAATTTTTGTTAGATTCAGCAAGAATCTGAGTAAAGTGCTGGTGATATGCTAACATTAACCTATTATAATGAAACCGAGGAATGTTTTATGGGTTTGTCTTAGTTTTATGTGATTCGTGTTGTCCGAGTTCTGCAATAAAAACCACTGAAGTATAATAAAATTAAGGTATACTAAACTTACTTAATTTAAATAATTAATTAATTGATTACGTTTATAATCGTATTATTATATAGTATCAAGACCAAAAGATGTGCAAGTGACCATTTTTTAAAAACAAGTTTTTATTTATGCATTACTCGCCAATTTTGCATATAGTTTTTAAAAAGATACTAAAAAAAAAAAACAATAAATCTCACCCATAATAAATACTTTTCTCCAAAATATAAATGTGAGATAATGAACGTTTATAAATGTTCTTACTATTTATTTTGATAAATATAGTTTTTAAGGAATAATACTAATGCATAGCGGTTACTGGATCAAATAATTATTTTATACGTTAACAAGTTTTAAACTGAAATAAAATAGTATTCTAATTTTCTGATAGTTTCCACGAGCTAATCAAGTAATTATAATAACCAAATAAGGAATATACAAAATAGTAGCGTAGTTAATTAGGGGTTTGAATACAAAATAACGCGTGCACTGGAACAAAATTAAAGTACATATATTTAAGTATTAGATTAATATAATTTTGTTATTAGATTATCTTGAAATTCTGACTTAATGTAAATTTTATAATTTAGATTATCACTACCAACAGAGCGCAGAACATTCTGCGTTTACAACAGTTGGCTACTCTAAAACCAAACTGCCTAATAAACACGGTAGTTTATTTTAACTTGTTAACATTTGATATTATGTATTTAATAATTAATTTCATTAAATCTATCACATTTTGATTTACACCGCGATAATCAATATTACAGTTGTTAATCATCTTTACATAACACCCTGAATAAGTACATAATTATTTTACACACCAACAAGTCGCACACAGTATTTTAAACTATTCATTAACCCTCCATGCATATCATTCCGCACGTTTTAATTAATATTAGATATTAAAAATATAATGTACAGCTTAACAAATAAAATGCATTTAATTTGCAATTGCATACAGACTTTCTCATCCTTGGTTAATTGCGAGAGAAAAAAAGTTAACCAAAATAATGTTAAGATCGATTTCAATTAAACGTAATATTTAAACAACGTAGGTATTTTGTAACAGTCTTAACATTATATTTATCAACGATAATATCGCAACTTATTTTTATTAGCAAATTTATGAAGGGGAACCGCATCCGGCTCACGAACAAGTTTTGGACGGCCACCTAGATAGCAGTCAATTTTGTAGTTACGTTAAAAGTCAACATTATATCACAATCTTTTTCAATTTCGCCTAAATCTGTTGATTATAATTAATTAGTTTCAAAAATATATTATATATTTTATGGAAAATTATAAATGTTTTTTTGCGCGCTAGAACCTTATACGGCCTTGTGTTTTTCTACAGTAAAAAATTTTTGGACTTTTCAGAAGATACAAAAGATGTGTACACCAGGAATAGTGCGTTGATCAATTCAGATTAACCGCTTCTTGTGATTAGAATACTAAAAGTTACCTACTTCGGCAAGTGTAGTAGACATTTTTATTTTTTAACATAAATAATCTGAATGGTATAACGCTGTCCTATAAGTTCCTTCCTTAGACAATAAAATTAATTTTTGTTCGTTTAAAAAGCCAGTTATTTTAAACCAATACAATTATGATAGTGAAATTATTTTATCTACGCCGAAAAATAACCAATAGAATTAGTGAAGTAGGATTTTTCGATGACAGTTTATTTCACAAACGATATTTGTCACACATATAAGCTGTTGTGCAACGTTTCCTTCACTCGCTACGACGTAAACAAATAAAAACAACATTGGAAATTGTATTTAATATTCAATTGATTTAGGTTAAATACGCTGAAGTGGTAATGCAATTACAGATATATCCGGCAACGTAATAGGGAAAACATATTGTAAATCATTCCTTTAAAAATATATAACGTACGCTAATATGTTATAATGTTGTATATTCTGGAGAAGTTGCGATATAATCTTAATACTAGTTCTGAGAATGAATGAATTGGGCTATATATATACTTCCCTAAATTATTAAAAGACGCATAGAACTTATAAAATATAAATAAAAAGCTTGATTATCCAACCTGAGTATTTGAGTAGCTATTTTTGCTAGAATTGTTGTACAATTCCATAATCAAAACCAGTTAAGAATTTATTTCAAAATCATTGTATATTCAAATTTACTTTTAGGAATAATTTAATATTCGAATCGTGTTATCTAGTTTTATGGTTATTTTCTAAAATCGCCGAAGCCTTTCATTGCCTAAATCATTACGCATACATTATTTGCAGATTACATTGAGTTTTTACGATAATTTATATTTTAATTTAATTCATATGTTTTTTTAATAATGGATATTTTTCTAAATTTTGTAATACCCGTAATACCGTTCTTGTCTCGCTTCTCAATACGATGGTAACTTCATTAGATTATCTTCTTCAAAAAATTCTATATGGTTATTGACCCTGGCTTAATTTTTTTTTTTTAGATACAAAGGTCTCTAGTTCCTTTAAACGTCCTTTTTGTATCTGCGACGTCGACTATGGCGACTACTGAACTCATTATACTTGGTTTAATTAGTAATAACTAGGGACAGTGATTGCTACAAATTGTACAACTATTGATCATCAATTAAGACTGTATCCGTATTTTTAATTATAACTCTGTTTATTATTTAGTCGAATGCGTAAGATTGCTAACAGAAGACAACGGTATTGATAATACGATGATAATTTATTGGCAATAATATCGTGAACTGGGAAAAAAACATTAAATTAAAATCATTTTTCAAGATTTACATTTTAAACTCACTTTTTGGATTATACCGTGTAAGAGCGGCATCAAAAACAGGGCTGGCTGAAATATCGAAGGATTTTATTAAAAATAGCTTTTGTTTAAGATTAACGCTTACGACATTACTCTGCAGTAGTATGTGATCCGCCAAACGCAATGGCCTAGTGTCTAAGGCATGAAATTTAAATAAACTGAAACACAGACAGGGTTCAAATGTTTCAAAATAACCTATTTGGACTTTGATGGATAAGTAGACATAGAACAATACTTATAGGTTGTTTTTCACATCCGAATTCTTTGAAGAATTAAAAAATCCCGGCAAACGTACCACGCATTGTCCATTGACCTTTTCTCGTGGTATTAAACACTGTGGAAATTATTTTAATGAGTCTTTAATGGTAGCAAAGGTTAATTGGTACACAGGATACACGCGTGTATAGATATCCGTTTTGGCCACGTCCCACGTAACGTTACAGGTATAATATACGAGGATATAGAAATAATAATTATCGAATCTGTTTAATTAGCGTTATTGGTTCCAACGTAGTTCTATATGGATTTGTAATGATGATAATAATGATAATACAAATATCATCATTATGCGCGGTGCTCGACGGTGCGGATCGGTAGGTATATATGGCAATCGTACCGCTGGTGTATTAATTATTGGTGTTACACATAATTTACAATATAATATATGTTCGATGACATATATTATGGAAATTCGCACGCGATGCACCGCCTCGAGATGATCAATATCGACATTCCGGTTGTGTCGCGTGTCTTTCGCCACCGCCTGGCTTAAGCAACCGCTCGGGTCCCCCACGAAAGTCCACCGGCCCACGTCTTACGGCCACCTTTTGCCGCTTACCGTGCTCCCGCCACCAGCCCGCCAATCCGTCTGTGGTCGACAAGTGTGTATGTGTGTATGCGCGCACCTCTGCCAAGCAGTCAGTCACGTTTCCAGTGTTATTAGCCGTTCGACTCTCATCGGACTTCAATGACCGGCTTCGATCTCCACCGAGTAAGTATTGAAAACAAATTATTTACATAATAATAATAATAATAATATGCATTTTTTTAAAGCTTTTACCTGCACGATAAACATATTATAATAGACCGGACAAATATCGTTTAACGACATAACACGCCGAGATATTAGCGACAGTAAAAAAAAAAATGTTATTCTAACGTTAGGTATACTTATCTATTAATTTTTTTATAAAATATTACCGTATAGATTGTAATTTTAATTCGATACAACAGTTTGTTTTCGCGGTGATTATGATAAATCAGTGAAAATTGTTATTTAAAGAAGAACTATTACTTTTAGAATAGGACAAAACCTAACCTAACCTAGACCCTGTCAAATGTTTTCATTGATTTTACGGGTTGGTCATCGTCTTTTAACTATAATAATAATTTCTGGTTAAAAATTCAATAAAAAAAAAACTTAAACTTGAACTCGAACCATAATCGGTACTCGCCAATGTTAAACTTTTATATTGTTATACTACTTTTAGTCGTAACCTTTTAATTAGGATTGATCGCATAGATGATACCGCTAGAATCGGGTAGCAAACGTCATGATGGTAATGAGCCACTGGAGTTAATACAAATTTGTGCTCTTTGGACACTCAACACTTGGTCAGGGGGTAGTCTCTGCGAGTTTGTTTTCTATTCTATATACCGTACACCGAGATCGAAACCGTTAGTTTGGGATTTTCGTTGAATAAATACAGCACAATCGAACCCGTCGGATTATTTAACAGTACCTCATGAGATAAGTACCGTATGGCCTACTAACCATTGACATTGGTTACGGGTACAAGCCACAGACACAGACGACCCGACGTATAATATGCGGGTTCTGAAAATAACTGTTTTTTTTTCTGTCATTTCCCTTCGTTTCCAATTTTTTTTCATTTGCTCACTCTCGGTTTTTTTAATCGACCGAACCGGTTTCATCTGGTACGCAAACATATATAATAATAAAATATAATGTCGAAACGAAAAATTATACTCACATTGCTGCCGGTGTTGCCGCGCCACTATGGACAGCACACGTATTACAGAAACCCGTTTTTCCTCCAGTTGCACCATTATGATCTCGACGTTTCCATACGGGTATTCGTATATAGGCGCTTACGAAACGTCGGCGATACCAATCCGTACAGTATTTATTAGCTCGGGCGCACAAAGTTTACCGACACCGAATTAATAAGGAAAATCAAAATCGATAAGCACTCCGTGGTGTGTGTACCTACTCCGGCCGGATCCCTTGCGGATAGAGGTCGGTCGCTGCCGGATGTAGAAAGTGAAAATAAAAAAAAAAACCGATACCTTCGCAGCTGCAGCTTCGAGTCAAAGCTACAAAAATACACAGTGATAATCCGGTTTCTTCCCTAGTTCAATTCGTATTGAAATTCCATTTTTTGTCCTCATTACAACATCACACCGGCACAATTATAAGTGGGTACGTACATTTTGTACTGCAACGCACCATGAGAAATCTAACGCAAATCAACCCCTTCTAATACCCTTAAAATCAATCACTTGCCGTTTATACAGCTGACAACTTTGTTAACCCGAATTATTGGGTTCAAATAAAATTTGATTTACCTTAAACTCGAACACGACGTTAAAAAAAATCCATCTAAATACCGCAACACGCCTTGTCAGTTGTGTCACTTTTATTACATGGGGTGTGCTATGATACCTATACCTTATTTTATAGTTGCTCGATAATTTGTATTAATTGTTCCCAATCTCCAGTATACTTACTCAGCAGCCTTAATCATATTTACCAGAATATTATATCATAGTTGCCAATAACCCCATTAAACAATTCGCGTACAAGCCTCCGGATAAACCATCAAACTCCCAGTAACCGCACGGCCACTTTTGTGCGGTAACTACACTACATTGGATTCGGTACAATTTAATTACAAGGAGTTATTAGACAAGCACCCACTTGTATTCGTTCAGCAAGGCAACGTGAATACATACTATCCATAAACGTTTACGTATAATAATTGGCGGGTTGTGTAATTACACTACAACTCGTCGAGATGTCTACCAGGACTTAACATTTGACCCATTGTTGTGATCTGGTTTTCAATAGGTCATCTATTTACATAACGTGCGAGGTTTCGACAAAATTCTTACGGTCGATTGAACCGGTCGCATGCACGACAACCGTATCGATATCAGTTATACGATATTAATAAAACATAACTAACACATAATAAAGGATCGTCCGGCCGCCGGCCAAGTGGTTCGGAAGACAAACCTAAACGTTTGCCGGAAACGTTTCCTGTCCGTTTCTTTCCTAAACGATTACAAGTACATTGATTAATATAATATACGCGTATCCTCTCTCCCTCTCTCTTTGCCAAGCAACACTTTCCAAAAACATTAACATAAAATATCGACAATATAAAATATTATACACTCGTTAAGAAACGTTGCAGGGTGTTAAAGGATTCCCCGCTTTCCAATTAACGTGTAATCGAGATTAATAATAATTATGAAAAATAAAAGTAAATGTTCTTATAGAACACAGCGCAGCGGTCCGATATAAACCGGTAGGGAATAAATAGCTCGGCCGTCCTGTAAACGAACCCAAAAGTACATCTCGCTAAAATAACCGTCGAATATTATGTACAGCGTGTGTAGGCACCGCAGCTATTATCATTAGGTATTTCCTAAGATGCCGGGCCCGGGCCCGAGCTTATGTCATCGCGGTTGTCGTAGTCGTCGATTTCGAATCATCGAATCCGGGAGTCAACGAACTGGGAACATTTTTAAACCGGCTTTTCGGAAACCATATATTCAAGAGATTATTATTATTATTATGATTAATATTTAGGCGGTACCGGGCTATTAGTTACCGGCGACTTCCGCGGCCGGCCATCGGTGCTGTAAAACGTGTGAACTTGATGCGGACAAAAACCGTCGTGTTGTATACCTACACATAGCCACGGGCCGCAGAACGAGTGCTCGGGTAGGTATCTCTCGTACCAATATCTTATTGTTAGATAACTCTCGCCAAAAAAAAAAAATTAAGAAACAAAGTTCCACGTCGTCCAAATGATTGACATTGCGTTTTAGATTGAACATCAAAACGGTGACGTAACCGCCGGCAAAGATGGTCGGCAGAGAAGACCGAAATTCATTAAAACCGTGGCTCTTATAATATTAGATTCTGACTAGGTACACATTATTATTGTGTGTGTGTGTGTGTGTGTGTGTGTACGGTGTTATTACATATTATTATTATTATTGTACTCGAAGCCCGTTCATAAACCGTTGCCTGAACCGATGCACGCCCATTTTTTTTGTCGTAGGAAACGAAATAAAAATTGTTAATGAAAACCAATTAGGAACGCCGCGCCGTTGCCGCGGAGAGAGCACACTATGTCGAGGTTCAAACACGAGCTTACAATAAATCTTTATATCCTTACTGTTATGCTTATCGGTGCACTTTTTTTTTTGCTGCTTAAATCATTGACCGCGACCGAACAACACTCGAATCGCCCGAGCCGTAACAGCCGAAAAGATCACAGTTTTACATTAAAGTTGCATAGCCTAAATAGGATCACACGTTATTGACTTAGGCGTAGCTGAGATAGTATTGTTTAACCGCTGATCCGATTTATGCATGTAGCAAGTCTGTAAACCAGAAATCGTACCTTTATTGGGCCGAAAATTTACATGAGTAACGAACAAATTATTTTAGACAGACAATCGATCAACCCTAATCTTATTCACTATAATACTAATAGTACAATTCAAAGTCCATTATTGTCTTCACAGTGTTTTTTTATCGATATTTAATAATTGCACCATCTACAAATTCGCATCAAAGCATTATTTGTTTATAGTGATTTCATCACTGATTTATAATCAATTCTATAGTCCCGTGACACTACTGTGCTGACTTTTCTTTATATTCATTAGGTTATGAGCACATTCCGAAGGTATCAGCAAATTGTTTTTTATATCTGTTAATTAATTTTAGTATCGTCGTAGGAAAAAATGCACTTACCCGATTCATTTTACCGCAATAGCTTTGAACCTACCACCGCGCTTATCAACACTGGCTTCACTGTGCTGACTAGGTTAAAATTCGTTTGGTTTATGACATTAGAGCCTGGGGCCAAGTTTGGTTTACGCACATGCGCATTACAATGGATCCTCTCTTGTGAGGAGACATTATTTATACTTATGGGTTGTACTAAAAAAATACAGTTTTGGTTTAAGTAATCTTTGCTCTTTCAGGATTTGAGCCATATTAAGTACATAATATGCACGCTTTGAAACATTAACCTAGCAGTCGTAACCGGTAGAAATGTGGTGCAAGTAGAAGACATACAAAATAATTGGATATTGCATTCTATTGACCCCGTACCACCTTAAGCAATCCGCATTACCCTCAGTGCATCTCTATTCGCTCTAAATCCATTCATGCATAAATGCATGATAATATTATACCGTATTGTTCTATAATCCCGTGACCAACGACCATTCACCTTGACATTATAAATCTTACTTGACAAAAATTAAAATTTATAAGTTCCACGCGTTTCAAAATCATATAAGTCTTTTGACCTAAATGTTAAGTAAACGATTATCAACAAGTGTAACTTATCGGTGAAATGACGTTCATGAAATATAATTTCTGGTATTGTATTACTGCCATTGTGGGTTTTTAATAGAAATTTATAATTTCACAACAGGTTTTGCTGTAAAACTTCTGCCATATAATTTTGTTTAAAAAACTCTCGTTAAACTATTACGTATAGTTTTTTTATAGTTACATTTGCATGTGTTATTTCATTACCCTGCTCTACATGACCGCTTAGAGGGAAAATAAGTGTATTGCATAATGTATAATTTTGTTTTATGTTCAAAAACCTAACCTTTAGCCTAGTGGTAGCGGTTACCAATAATTACAAATTTAAAAGTAGCATACATTCCTTCATAAAATAAATTTTGAAACATTGATGTTAAAATCAGCGGTAGAAGCGACGACCCATCTACCATAAGTTTATCTTACCAGTTCATAGTATCAGTGTAGTTTCTGTGCTTCAAACTATAGTTTTTTATACACTCTAAATTGTATTTCAACGAAATCAAGTGAGATAGACATGGTTAGGTAAGGTGTACTGATGCTATTAATGTGTAACAAGTACCTCTTAATTACAAAAAAAATGTCCTATGAAACAATAGTCGTACTTATTCGGATTTTTTTCATATTTTCAGTCTCTTGGAAATGGATACACGGAAAAAGTAATCCACAATGATCGACGTTATCAAATGAAACGATGGTGATTATAAATTACTTTATATTTTCATGTTTAGCCGCATGGTGCGCCGCACAGAGGCTAACCTATGACCAACTGTTACCGTCTAGGGTCAATGGTCGACCGACCAGGATGGTAAGTCACCCTGCTCTGCATTTAACCGATCATAGTATATTATAATATCTGTTTTAAAGGAGCCCGCCGTCTCTGAAGACATAAATACGACACCGAGTCCTACCGGAATAAGAAGACAGCACACATATCCGTCGTCGCTGCCGTTCCCGTGCAAAAACATGACAGCCCCCGGATTAGGAAGGAGTTCGATAAGGCCCACTAACGTTCACATGCTCCGGCCCGGCGACATAGACGTGGTTGGCGCCATGGGAGATAGTCTGGTTGCCGGCAACGGCGCGCTGGAAGAGTTCGCTATGGGCACGTTGATCGAATACCGCGGGGTGTCTTGGGCGGCAGGTGAGATAGCGACTCGAGTACTTCACTGTCGGAGTCCACATTAACGTTTTTATATGCTTAGGCGGAGAAGCAACGTGGCGGAGCTATCTGACCTTACCGAATATCCTAAAAGAATTCAACCCCGGTCTCAAAGGCTACTCCGTGGGAAAGGGCGAGTGGTTAGCGCCCAATTCTCACATGAACGTCGCTTTCCCCGTGTCGGCCGATTACGAGGCGTACAAACAAGCGCAGTTTTTGGTGAAAAAAATGAAAAAAGACCCGACGGTCGATTTCAAGAACGACTGGAAGGTAAGGAAACGGCGGTTAATTTTCTTATGTATGCATATACTCATTGCATGTTCATTTCGCCCCGTACAGCTGATAACCATGTTCTTCGGCGCCAACGACCTGTGTTCGGGACAGTGTTACGACAAGGACGGTACCACGCCGTTGCAACACAGCAAGAAACTGCAAAAAGCGTTGGATTACCTCCAGGCCAATCTTCCCAGGACCATGGTCAATCTCGTGCCGGTACTTGGTGAGTACGCGCCGGCAATTGTTGCCTGTTTATTCGCTAAAATCAACCGGTTTTCCGGGCGATTCGCTTCGGGCCGGGGAGAAAACAACGTCTCGGCGTGCTTTCGCACAGCACAAGGTTAAACTCCCTAAAGGGTTATGCCGGTAGCCGGACGTGTGCCAGCGAGGGCAAGGCAATGAGCAGTGGGAGAAGGATCGCATACCGTCTTAAGTCCGTCCGGAATCAAACGGGTTCCTGTACCGAGCGAATTGTGAATGAGTACCACGCCAATTCACTTTCACGACCAAAACCCCATACCATTCAAAAAGCAGTATCATTATCGTTCATTCACTACGTGTGCTGTACACTGTTACACAATGGAGCATCATCGGCACCTGTAGTAATGATCGTGTTACACAGCAATCCTTTTTAACATTAACCATGATTTACAATTATTATTTACAACCCATCCTAATGTTTTTTATTTTTTTTTTTTAATTCTGCAATCAATTATTATCGTTGTTAACTTCGTCAACGCGAATATATATGAGGCCGTTACTTCGGAACAATAAGGACGCAAATTGATTGTATTATTACACTTTCTCGCTTTCACGTAATTAAATCAAATTTAACGTTAATCGACACCGACAAACGATGTTCATGATAGATACACCCGTAGAATAATTATCGTATACAGTGAGTCCATTGACACTGACCAATGTGTGAACTTTTTTTTCAAATGAAAATTTCGCATTTCCCTTCCGACCAATTTTATAAAGCATCGTCGAGTTATCTAAGAAGTTCCTATAATAAAAGGCAGAATAATTGAGTTTTAAGCTATAATAACATGAAGAAAAAATCAAAATGGTAATAATTAAAAAAATAAAGTAATCGCCGCAATTCAACCGGCGAATATTGCATCATAGACATTTCCTTAAAAACTTCAAATTATGATGCTATATTATGTTCTGTATAAGTACACTAAAAAAGAAAGCATATTAATAACAACCACTTTTGTACAATCAAATTATTAATGGAAAATATATTTTAGTCTGTTGTTTAATGTTATTAAATTATCTTTTAAAATAATAACAATAATTTTAAATATATGTTTCGCGTATCGTATAATATTAAGTAGTTAAATATTATTTTATAACTCTAATCGTTATTTTCTTGTTGTTTATTTCTAACCACATTGGCGAAACTATTCGGACAAAGTTCAGCTAGTTCGTGTATCCTCTAAACGATTGTTGACATTATTTTTAAAGCTAAGCGACTTTCTAATATTCGCACGTGTCAAATTAATTCACGAAAGCTATTTTGACATTTAATAATCAAAACCGAAAGGTTAGCGGTCACAGTTCAATTTTCTCCAGCCGTTTCAATGGCTGGACAATTCGAGCGCTTTGAGCTGTTTCCACATTTACTAATATTATGACACTCGATCGCAATTCCTTGGAGCTTGCTCGTGTCTAACGAGCATTGCTAGGTTTTGAAACTGCTGCGACTGTATGAGTGTGTGTGTATTTATGGAAAGTGGGATATTACCGGACACGAAATGAGACAATAATGGCCCCGTTGCCTTGAAGAGACGCGATCCGCATATGAAATGAACTTCCAAAAGAGCTTATCGAAGAACAAAAGTGAAAGTTATCGTCGGTTTTGAATCCGACACGACGCTGTTTCGCGAACTAAACAAATACTTTACAACTACCTTTGATCTTTGTAAAAAAAAGAAAAAAAATTACTCATATTTTATGTTTTATTTTTGTGTGTGTCGCAGACGTTTCGGTAAGCGTTCGGGTGAAGAGATCTTTCATGTGCCATATGCTTCACGTGTTCTTCTGCGCTTGTTTCCACCAGAGGGGAAACGTCAACGAAATGGACGAGATCACGCAGCTGGTCAGAGACTACCAAGCGGCCGAACAGATACTGGTTAGTTTTTCCTATTATGTTATAATATTACTACACATTTCGACCGTTCAAACAGTCGGTACACAATTTTCATCTTTACAATGACGATCTCGTTTTGATGATGTTTTTACACGCTTGCATTCAGATTAACAGCGGCAGATACAATAAAAAAGAAGACTTCACCGTAGTAATACAGCCTTTCATTAAACTGTTCAACGCACCTTTGGACAAGAGTAAACAGTTCGAGGAAGTAATCGACATTTCCTACGTGACCTACGACTGTTTCCACTTCAGTCAAAAAGGACACGCTTTGGGTGAGCCATTTGTTTTAATTTTTTATTTTACACTTTACATGGAATTTTATTTTATTGGTTATTATTAATTGTCTAGCCGCCAACCTGTTATGGAACAACATGATGCAACCGGTAGGTGCCAAATCGGAATCGACGATTGACTACATCATGCAAGACTTTAAATGTCCCACGGTCGAGAACCCTTACATATACACGGCCAACAATTCGTTTCCATCGAATCACGCCAACAAACTTTGATTGGAACAAACACAAGTGGACTAGCTCGCTAATCGCTGCTTTTGTTTAATTGATCGATGTCGGTCAACACACTTAATATTAACAATAAATTATTAGAGATTTTACGGTTTTTTTTTATCTCGAGTGATACCAAAAAAAAAAAAAGGAATCGAGCAATATTATAGTGTATTGTATCTATTTATATATCATGTTCACTTTTAGGTTTTATTATATTTAAATCGTACAAACAGTTTTACTATCTACGTATCAAAAAACACAGCTAGCATAGGTATACAAATTGTTAGTCATTCTTTTATATATTTATCTTACGAAAATTTTAGTCTCAAGGTATGCCAATTCGCTGACGTCATTAGTTTTTTTTAACTCAATGCTTATTTAAAAAATTGTACACAATCATAAAATTATATAGTTTTTTTTTATGAATTGTTTAAATTTTACGGTACTAAGTTACTATAAATCACGCACTATAAAGCTATTTTATAACCCTATAACCGTTTTAGCTTTAATACATACATATGAGTATTAATTTATATATATAAAAAAAAAGAAGACAAAATTATCTTTCTTATCGGGGAACAAATTGAATCATACATATGTTTTTAGCCTCGAGAAGTTGAGTTCGATTGACTTAATTTCAAAGTTTTTCCCGACAAGAGATATGATTCAAACTCGAAGTAATGGACTCTGAAAAATAAACATTTAACAGGTACTGCTGAAAATTGTGTAATCACAAAACAGGATATAATTATTACATGATTGAAATATAAGGATTATTCACATTTGTAATACAAGTAAAGGCTTATGATAACTGAAGTATGATATATGCTTGAGTGGTCCTTTACTCGGTACTTAAACTGATATGACGGTAAACTTGTTTTATGTCTAATGTAATTTAATAACGACGTTATCATGATGATATCGAGTGTATGTAAATGATATGTAGGATGAAAATACATTCAAACGAAACAAACTCGACACTTTTACTTGGCAGAGCGATTCGTAAAAACAAGTACAACAAACTTTGATTTCGGATCTTTTTCCATCTCGACCTTTTGATCTTTAGATCCTGTACTAACGAGCGTCTTTGGCATTCATGCGTTTGCGTATTCGCTCTTACGATTCAATTACCAACACTAACAGTTAGGGTTCGAAGACTTTCTGTTTCTTCTTTAAACGATATCGTCGATTATTCCCAACTACTTTACTTTCCATTTACGTTCTTCCATTGAACTTTAAATGCAATCATCTTATCTTTTCATCGGTCGTACTCGAACTAAAGGATGTATTGATTATAATTTATAAGTGTTCAGACTCGTGGCGTTCTCGTTTAAATCACAGTGATTCAAAATGAATATTTAGAGCGTCAAAAGTAATTTAAAAAAAAACAGAGTTGTCAATAAACAATATATTCAGGATAAATACTTTGGGTACATTATTTCAAAAACTATTACAGTTTTGGTTTTTTTTAACGAATTAGAGATTTTTTTATTTTATGCCCTAAACATTATTCGTGAGAAAACTGTTACTTTAATTGAACAATACAAATAATATGAATATTTCTGAAATATCATACTACATTTATTTAATACTTAAATGTCTGTATTTTACTCTTCGAGTAGATCCGACAAATTTAAACTTAGCCATCGTAGTTTATCAATATTACAAATGCATCATACTATGAAACTATAAATAATGTACAATGATGCATACTTCTTTATTATCATGAAAGACATACAGCTACCATCTTAAAAAATAGAATCTTCAAATAAACAACGCGTTTATATGTTTTTTTTTATGAGAATATTCTAGAACTGTTTAAAAGGATTGACCGGACCAATATTATTATATAAAATATTTACATAATTATCATAGCGAATGCATATTACACGTCTTTGAGTAATACACAGAAAATAATTACTCGTCTATTAAAACATAATTATTATATGTATAATAAAAAGTTACTCTATAAACAAAATCATAGAATACTTGTATTGTAACCGTTGCGGCGTATCCCCGGGTGCAAAACGCATTGGCAAAAACAACCGTTTTAATCTACCGTTTGTATTAGCATAAAACTGTATATGGTATAAAAAAAGAGACTTGAAAGTATTGCTACAAAAGTCAAAACGCACAGTCGACCTACATAAATAATGAAAACCGAAAATGGATAGCGGGGAATGACAATTTTCTCTTTTTAGCACTCCTTTTTGGTTGACTCTGGGTTTTTCACATGAACAATACTCTGTATACAAAATACAAAATAACGTACAGTTACATACGGTCTGTACACTCCTAATATAAATATCTACACTCGCCATTGTCTGTATACATATGTCAATTACGTGGGTCGAAAAATCGCAATTTGCATAGAATACACTTACCAGCAAACAAGCAGATGCTGAAGATTAATGAACGTGTAATAACATTACATAAAACAGAAATAACCTTGATATGATACATATATTCTAACATAACACTTTTAAATGTGTGTCATGTAAAACATAAAGTAGTGTTTCAGTGCTTAATTTTTTAAGTTTTATCAATAATTAGCTTATACAAACAAATCCAAAGTAGTGTTGAAAAAACACTTTTCCTCCTCCTTTCCATAATCATAATTTTTATGTTCGTCTAACACTCTAACCTAGCAAGTGATGCTGATCACTGTTATTTGCTTTATGTTTTTCTTATTCCATCATCTCTCTATTTATCTGTACCAACACCTACATGAATAAATAATATCTTCCCATTATCTTTGGATGAAATCTTCGCGTACTTTCTTCACACCCAACTGAACTTATTACTTAACCAATTGTAAGCTCTATATTATGTGAATTTTAAAGAATGTTAACAATAATCCTCCTTAAAAAAATGTTCAACTAAATGCATTAAGCTAATTATAATATAGTTAGCAAATCGATTTATATTTTAAATAAACAAATCCAAAAATAAATCAACATGGCCAACGTGCAGTATGGCACGTAAAACACCAGTATAATCGGTGTAGAGCCTCAGGACTATCTAAAGAAACGGTTATTACAATATTGTTGCCGTTAAACTATTTTTTGTCTTTCTTTAGGCGATATCACCACATTTTTAAGTGTCCAATTATGCGATGCATTGATTTCAACAGAATATTACTTTAATACGTTAATATGTTAAATTTAACAAAAGATCAGACATCAATATTTTTAGAATAAAACCACTATCATGACTTAAACAGGGACGAAGCAATATTCTTAGACAATCCTGTCTATCAGATGAGTAAAACAAGACGGCGCGGCGCAGCGTTCTTTTTTACAAATTTGATAAAAACGTATTAAAAAAAAACGAAATAAAACAATTTGTGATCCGTAGAGTTATAAGACTTGTATAAGTATATAAGTATTTCTATAACAATAATAATATTATGTTTTGTTATTATCCGTCTTAACGTTCGGGTCTTTCCTTTTAATTGATGACGCGACTGCGTAATAACAATATTAATGCGAATAAAATTAAAAAAAAAAAAATAATTTACCTTTGCTGTTATCTGACTTGGATACTAGACCGCAAAAACAGTATATTGTGTGGTCTGTGTTGTTTTTTTATACGTCATGAAGGTAAGCGACGCGGCGCCCGTGTATACGCACATAACATACACATGTGTCGACGTCATACAGTGAAATAAAGATTCAAATTTTTTTTATGGTACAGCAAGTAATAATTATTGGGTAATTTTATTTTTTAGTAACGTATGCCACAAGACCACAAAAACCTGTTTTTAACTTGGTACACGCGTGTTGGCTGTCCAGAAATTATCTGTGAGGATAATATGATTAGTAATTGATTGAACGACGTATGTAGGTTAGTGATTACGGTTTGTTAATAACTATTTACGAAAACATAAACAACTCTTTTGTTTTGTTTTTAAATAGTTCTGGATTATAAAAATTTGACGTGCACGCTGATGTCATGAATATATACTTGCGTTTTATCCGTAAAGTATTAACAACAAGTGTTAGTGATGAACGCATATAAATCTTTTGATTTAAAAAATTTAACGATCTTATACATTTTATAGCAAGTATACAAGGTACTTGTATAACAGGAAAGTGAAATAGAACCCCGAAACATATATATACACTTATGTTCTGACGTTACAAAACCAACAAATTTTATTCGGTTAATTTCATTACCTACCTCGTTATACAAGTTTTATTAATTACTTTGCGGTTTAAACGAGTACCTGCACTCAAATTATAGTACCTAATATAATAAGTTTATTTTCAAAAAAAATAGGTTTAGGTCAACCTTAAATTTTATAACAAAACAAAGAAATCGTCGCCCAAGAACCGTTATGACAGTTTTCGCAACTTTTCAGGAGGAACAAAAAACATATTATCAATGATAACCAACAATTTCATACAGGCCATGATGACATTTTGATTTTTCACAGCCAACCTGTCTGACAAACATCAAGTCTAAAAACAAGGCCTCACACGTTTTGTAAACACTACGCATTGGATATTATATAAATCTCAATTTTGCCTTTTGTTTTTAAATTGGCCATGATAGTTCTTAGGCGACAAAACTTACAGTTTCCAACGACCTTGAAATAGAAATATATTCTCCAATTTCTTCATTTCCAACCGACGCTTTAACTCCTTTCCTGGCCCTTTCGATGTTGCTTTCCTGAGTACATAACAAAATGTATTGACTATTTTAGCACTAACTTTTTTGTATTTGAAAAACAAAATATTTACCATAAGTATACGAGTAAAGTTTGTAGTACAATAAATAAATTATTAAAAAATAACTAATTAAAGAGTTAAAAACCACAATATTAGAAGTCTATTGCTGCAAAATGTTTACACCATATTATTTCAGGCACTTAGTAGCTTCATAGAATTTGTTTAAAGGTGAAACAGAAGATTTCATAGACTGTCGTGTGGATTTTTTTTACATATCTTGGCGTACCCGGTCGTCGCTTAAGATACACATATCGATGGACAAGTTTATCGTATTGGACTGATGTCGGATAGTTTAGCTGTACCATTGATTTTAGAATATTCTAAAATGGATGTACTCAAGAACAAATTCCATTAAACCAATATGGTTTCAAAAATGCTGGCTAATTACAAATAAATGTTGGCGCATATTATGCCTCCAACTGGCGACGAAGGAATTTACAATAATTGTTCTAAATACTAATTACAAATTAATAATGAAACGCCTAATGCACGGTTTATAGTTATATTTATATAGTTGTATTGGCCATTTTAATTGTTTGATTTTTACAGTACTAATGAACTTTTACTGCAGCCATGTATGGCACCTAATGGACATCGTTTTTTTTTCATTACTAGTTGTATTCTTAGCTCGACTGAATAGTAAAATTAACTCGACCAAACATAGTAGTATATTTCTACTACATAAATTACCTGTACTCCTTTATTTACTTAACTAATGAGAGTACTATTTTTAGAATATAGGACGTAATTGTCATACATTGCATAAATAGACATTTAAACGTGTTCGATATTTTACACTAGTGTAAGAAATTACATAATACTTCATGTTTGTAATTATGCTATTTAATAATTAATTTTTTCGTATTACTATATTTATTGTAAAAGCTTGATTTACAGTTCCCTTTTTTATACATTTGGATGTTGTGCTAATTAAAAAACAATACAAGCCCCAAAACTATAAATCTTCGCTTTTTGGTCTTAGTGCAACCCTTATGCAGCACTGGGATGGGGAACCAACAAACAAAATTAGGTGGCACTCCAAACGAAAATGAAAGTTTGTAAAATACATACCTCCCTATATTCACGTTGACATTAGTCAGCTAACGTTTTGACATGGATAGACTCGAAAATAATTTAACTAATAATTTTTGGATTGTCATGGAATTTTTAACACATTCCCACTATACTAAGTGTAGTTCTATCTAATAATAATTATCAAAACATATACAATTATAATTTATTGGTAATAGTATTTATTTGTTTTTGTTTCCTCGTATATTCTGTATGTGCCTGTATGGGCCTGGGGCGACTTTCTCGGTTAGTAAATACACATAACATTCATTGTTATTGTTTTCGAGTCAATAGAAATTTTAAAAATTAAACTAATTTATGAAAGTTTGTTTATTTTTCCAAATATTACTTTTCGATGATTCCATTTTAAGAACTATTAGAATGCTGAATTTATTAGGTTTTTGGATTCTGTACAAAAAATAAAACACTTCTATACAATTGTTGTTTTAGTTTTTTCAATGGGAAAATTAAACAATATTTTACACAAAAGTTTGGATTATTATTTGTTATATTATTTGAAATTTTGTAAAGCGTTGGTTAAATGTTAAAATATATTATGTGTGTACTTACTATATTTGGGTAGAAACGTACAAAACTGAAAAGTTCTATGAGAAAATACTTTACCTTTATTGCTACTCAACACTACAATAATTTTCGAGATAAATGTTCACAATATTAATACTACATTAACAAGTCTGCCTATATTGATTGGAGTGTTTTATAAAACTCTCTCATTTCTTGTTTACATTTTCTTTTTAATCGTTAAAACGTCATCTGTCTAGAATAATTCAATAGCCTAAAGGCTATTTAGGAAGTAGGTAATAAGACTGTACCTGAATCAAACATATTGGTAAGCCAATAATTATTTTTAAGACTGATCTTTTTTTTTAATCCGGTACTATATTGGATATTATTTTCGCAGTGCATTGGTAACGAGGGTGAAAAACATCACATGGCTCATGACTTATTGTTTTCTTGTTGTTAACGATGGTCTAAACAACGAACCAATGTTGCTATCTACTGAAATATAAGAATTTGCAATGTAGTTGAACTTATGCACTCTATAATCATTATAGTTACATTATGTAACGTTAATTATATTATTTAGTTTTGTAATAATTATTATTATAATAATCTGGTAAAATAGTAAGTATATTTACTTTCAGTTAGGTAACAGTATACTTGAGTATAATACCTAATTGTGATTATTATTATAATAATGTTCAATTATAATAACAATGTAATAATATTTGAATAAAGAAACAAAATAGTAAAAATATAATATTGGTTTTCTTTGCTAATAATCTCTGTGACATTTTAGCGTTGATAATAGTTGCATCAAAACAGAAAAGTAAGTGACTTTTCGTGAAATTATAAATAAAACATTGCACATGTATGGTATAATTTATAATATGCTTTAGTATTAACTGACGGCAGAATACATAACACTAGAACAAGCCAAACAAATGTTATCACTATTCCCTTGTTTATAATCATTATACCCGCGAAATAAATTAATCTTGGCTTGCGTAAAGCAATTATTATTTATTATATCTGATAATAGTTAAACCGAAACGTATGCTTGAATACCTATCAAATTTACATCAGCCTTTGTGACATTCTTATACAAAGTTCAACCCGAACTCAAAAACGTTATCGAACGAGAAGCGATTATTGATTATTCTTATAATATTGAGTAAAATTATTTGGTAAATTAAAAAACGAGCTTCTAGCTTTTTACTATCAATGTCAATTTATAAAACAACTTTGTGTTTTTATATAACACAAAAATATTTAGGTGTAAATTGTTATGTTCATCTTTTATGTTAGTTTATTTAATGAGATAATATATTAAGTCTCATACATTCCAATCTTTGGAATTGTTTTACAAAAATTTTCATAACATACTAGACACGTAAAATTGAATAAATTGAATAAAATTAATTATATTCAAATAAAAAAATAAATCTTGAAAATTATATGTGGATGTTTTTTTTTTGCACTCAATCAATAACAATGTGTTGCTTCAAATTACAAGATAAATAACTTATACAATTCGTTATGATTACCGGCTTACTTTTTCTATATTTAAAAATTACATAATTTAGGTAAGATTAATTTTTTTTTTTTTGAAATTACAGAATATGTAAATAAGATATAAGATCTGTTTTTTAGTATAACTAATATTTGAATATTTACGTTTTTATACATATTACACCTGCCACGAGACATTTGTGAAATGACGTACTTTAAAGTTAATTAGGTTTTCGAAGATATATGATAAAGATTAGACCGCAATGTTCATATCGTTTTAATAATAATTAAATCAAACGTGAACTGCTAATGAAATGCAAACGTGAACTGCCTTAACTACTAATAGTTAAGTTTTCTATATACATATTACATTTATATTAGTATAGGTATATAATATATGTACAATTTTGTTTACTGAATTCCTGTTTTTTTTTGCAACACATTTTTTATACAACAAAACGATTTGGTCCAAAATAATTGTTGAAATGCTAATAATAATCATATAAATGCAGAATAATATTTATAGCAGGATTGCTTTTTAAGAAAAACAATTGATATTATAGCTTAAGAAGTCATAATTTATTGTAAATGCTGGCTATAGGTAATTGAAAACAGATTTAAAGATTTAAATTGTATCAAAATAATCTAAATCTGGTTTGTCTTGATCGTGTTTATTCTTTTTACAACGTGTAACATTGTATTATTTCTTTTTATATGTGCATTAAAAAATATAAATATAATTTGTTCATACCTTTAATCACCTGAAAACTGTTCATCTCAGTTCTAAGTAAAAAGTGTTTTTAAAAAAAATTGTTTTCAGCTCATGATTAGTTAGTTGATTCGGTATGCAATCATATTAAATGGTAGTTCCTCTGCGATAAATTTACCATTATCTAGTATTGATTTTATTTCACAATTAGTTTACATCATAAATTATAATTAATATGATATTTTCGAATTTAGAGCTAGCGTTAAATGCGCTTTTGTCGATTTTAAAGAACATTTTTTTAAAAAATTCTAATCCAAACGACAAAAAACTTTGAATAAAAAAAAAATGTTTAATAAGTCGTGCTGATTCTCGGTAATCCCGCAAATTTTTTTTATAATGACAACATGGAAATGTTTCCTGATGCTCGTTTGTTGACTCTCGTAACCGGAAAATACGTCTTAAATTGTTTAATTCAGAAATAAAAAAAAACGTCAACAGCTCATTTAAATACCTAATTATGTGTCCACGTAAACGTCGGGTTTTTTTTATAAAGGAACGGCATAGATACCAACCGTGCAAAACGTCCACACTGCATCTCCCACCATACCGACTGCGTGCCAGTTGTGTACCATTATGGCTATGCTCTCTTATACTGTTATACATACATATATACATACATACCTACTAGCATGTAAAAAAAAAATAATAAACGATGCCTAGTGTAACGATGCAAGTGGCGCGCGCACGGTCAATGTTAAAACGATATTTTATAAAACGACCGACCACGCGCGTTCTCTTGGTCAGTACCGAGTTCAATGTCAATATCAGAGGGACCGTCGCAACCGTAGTAGACTCGCTACTATAATAATATTAATATTAACCGTCGTTAACCGATTGTAATAATTATATTATAATATATTATTATAGTGTTGTTGTTCGACATAGTTTTCGCGTTTCCAACCGTTCTTGGATATTCGACACGACCAGTAGTGCATTCGGTATTTATTTTTCGATTTCTCAAAGACCGCAGGCAGCCATGTATCCCAATCCGTGGATCAGAAAGCACTCGACCATCAGGCAAGTGATCGACAAACTGTTGTCGATCAACACGAACAACACGAAGAAGTTCGACGCGGTGTTCAAAAAGAAGAAATCCACAACGGCGGCCGGTATGGCCAAAAGAAAGCGCTGAGGGACGTCGCCGCCGCCGCCGTTCCCATCACAACTACAAGTTCCTATTCGACGGAAACGACGAAGCCAAACGTTTTCAGCCGTACAATGTGCCATCGTCCAAAGAGATTTCTCACAAGTTTCATCATTTACATTTTCATCGACGATCGCCCAAGTCCGCGTGAAGGTAAATGGAGTTACACATAACTTACTAAGAATAATTCTCATAATTAAAAAACCTGTAGGTATAATCTTAAAAGTTTGATGTTCGATTGAGCGGGCAACGCGTTGATAGCAGATAGTATAATAATATTATAACCGTGTATAAGCTTGAATATACGCTCACGCGGGCCGAACTATAAACCAACAAAGGTCTAACAATAGAAATTCAAAGTCCTTTTAGTGTAACGCGTTAAATGCCAACATCAGTTCACAGTACCCCGACGGGTTCATTGGTCGATGTCGGATGTATGCTGTAACACAACCCGTTTAAAACATCATCTTGCTACGCATTTCAATGATGTAAAAAATTATTGCGTAACGATTCGTAAAAAAACATATATAGAACAATACGACGGATGCGGTTTCATTTTGCAAAATACATTTATTCATAATTTACATATTAATAAAATTCGCATAGGGCAGAGTTCATCGCTTACTGTAACTAATAATGATCGGTTTCCAACAGTGTACTACTGTATTGTAGACAAAGCCTGTGTATTGGAACGTTCAATCAATATAGTATTGATTGGTTCGTTAAAAAAACTTGTATGGCAATTAAAACAGCTCTCCTCTTTGATCAACACGGTTTCTTTGCAGAAGCGAATGCGATGATAATTTATTTTAACGACTATAACTGGTTCAGAATATTAAACGCTTAGTTGGTTTTAAAAATACCTACGTCGAAAATAGAAGACCTATAGTCTTGACCTCGGCCACGTTAGTTTTATTAATAATATTATTATTGTTTCCTATTCGCCGTTCTGACAATATTTTTCCATACAACATCGACAATAACATTATCTTTATTTTTTCCCGTTAAAAATCTACCGCGTTATCATCAACCACAGCTCAACTGAACGCCGGCACTAACTTGTTCTGTGCATAATACTCGTCGTGAATGAGGAAAATTCTCCTTATTTTTGTCCGTAAAAAGTCATACTCATAATATGTGTTGCAGTTGGACAAAGAACAACTCTACTTTGAAATCCTATAGGCATCTAGTGCGGTCCTCTCTTTTCATAAAAAGTATAATCTATAAAGCCGGTTTTTAAAAACAATGCGAACTATTATGACGAGTAGGTACCCTTCAACGACCTCTGAAGTTTGCAACTCATTCGTACTTACTATTTAGTGAAAACCTCAAAACGATAATCGATTATTGACCATTGAATTCGAAAACACGTTGGCTACTTAAATACGTCATAGATACAAACCTAATAAAATTGGTAATTATGTAGTATGTCTACATAACGTTTGACCTGGTTTTACTCGAACTAACGCCAATATCTTCTCTATTGTCGACAGATTGTTCTCTCTAATTCACAGCGATTGTTCGTACTAAACTTTTGGGTGAACTATCAAGAAAAACTTCTATAAGACTATCATTTGTGTATAAGCAATTCCTACTTTGATTATTTCTCTTTTAAATATTTCGAAGGGGGAAAAAAGCTATGTAAAAGGTTATCCAAGTTTTTTTTATTATGAATATTATTACTTATGTATATATGTTATATAAATACTAACGGATGTTGCTTTTTTTTCAGTTGTTCATTGATGACGGTTATGTCCTGCCTGAATGTACCTATTGATCTAGTTCATATACTGAAACCGCTACTGACGAATACGTGTGTCGCACGTGGATTTTACAAATAAGGACCTCCCGGAGTGTAAAAGGATTCCACGTGATACGTTCTACCATTTCTGGATGAAAAAAAACGTTAGAAGTGAGTTGTTTTGACGATCATTTTGTTTTTGGTATATTTCTCAATGACTGTACATGAGAATTCATATGGAGTTTAAATACATGTATATCATATTGGAGTGTATGTCGTTATAAAAAATATACTAAAAGAATTACTTTATAGATAATTTTCATTGTGAATTGAAAATAATAACGTTATTTTATTTGTTTATAGATCTTGCAGTTGCAGAGGAGTTGATTTTCATCCCCGCAAGGCTACAGGGTTGAAATGCTGCTAACTGGACACATACATTTGTTTTTTATTTCAAATGTATTCTAGAGGATACTATTTTTATTTGTATTACTAGTATTATTATACACGTGTATGTGTGTTTTTTTTATTTATTTATTATTGTGTATTATTATCTATTGTATAAATTCGAACAATTTTTTTACTGTGACACTTTTTTTTATATAAAATAAATATGATAAAAATCATTTGATATTATAATGTTTGTTGTATTGTACCTTTATTTTCACTACAATAACGATAAATTATAGTTTTCGCCATAGTCCACAATGAGTTAACAGTAAGAATATAAACTACTGATTTACTTATCAGGACGCTGACGAAAAACCTTTAACGTCAAATGTCAGCGATACGGATTTATCTAATGCAACGGAAAAAATTGCCTAAAATTACATGCCAGAAACAATTAAAATATTTCAATCATTATACATTAGACATGCGTTAATGATCGTATCCTGGTTAGTTTCATTGAAATCCGCCATCTCGTAATGTTTGATCATTAATGGTTACAAATGTTAAGATAAATAAATTAATCAATGGTGATAAGATGAGTTCTAACGTTGACTGTAAGTTGTAAATTTTGCCAAGATAATCATAATGAAATTGCAACGATAATGTCTAATGGTTAATAATTATTTTAATACATCATACGATGCTTCGATTGAAACGAAATATCAATTGCTTATTGCAAAACGCTATGTTAATAGAATATGATAATATTCAACTACAACTAAAGCTCGCTGACCAGAGGTTATCGTGTTTGTGACGAAAGAGGTTCTGATAGGTATAATATATTTTATTATCATACCATATTACTATTATATATTATCGAGATGTTATTGTAGGTGTAAACTTGGCAAGTCGAATTCAAACAAGCAATGTCAAAGATGTCAATGTCAGTAATGATGTACCTACACTAAAATAATTTTATATTCAAACCTGTAAATTTTAATTAAACTAGTTATTAATAATTTTTAAGACCTTTGCACGTGTATTTTTTGAAAAAAAACCAATATTAAATTATGTATTATGTGTTACGGATGATCTATATCAGAAAACAATTATCTCATAGGTTATAGATTTCAAACAAAAGGTGTTAAAAATATATTTATTTAGGTCACGGGCATATAACATATTCGGCCAATGTTCACTTATAAAAATACTATTAAAATATTATACTTGGTCTTCAATATAATGTGTTATGTAATTGTGTTGGGTCTTCATTATTAAAATTCACTGCGACATTCATAGAGCATTCAAACACTAATTATTTTGAACTCTTTAATTAACTATTGCAGCGTTTAAAATAATTAAAATTGGCTCGTGCCGATCATTTAGTCAACAATATTATATTATTATGTTGACACAGTAACTGCTGAAACCTTAAAAGGCCTCACGCCAAAAATATTTTCATTAAAAGGAAATGCCATCATCATACTTAGTTGTTTTTGACGTTCACTAACACGTGTTTTAACATTCATTATCTACTAATTTACTTCATCGAACCAAAATGTGGTTTAGTAAAATATACTAGAAATTTAATAATACAACGGTTGAACGAACAATTTACAATATGTAAAAAATCATTTATGTTTCTTAAGTCTTCAAACCGGAATTTGAGTCATTTTTTTTTTTAATTAAAATAAATTGCCATCATATAATAAATTTATACATATGTGTGTGAGCTTAAATTTTAAAAAATACATCACAATTTAATTGAGATGGCAGTTAAATAAAGTCGGTTTTTCTTGTTTTTGCAATAATTTTGCATAATAAAAATAAATTTTAGCGTTTAAATTGAATTAATTATGTTATTGCTTAGTATTTATTAGAGGGTAACCATTGATAATATTTAATTTTAAAAAAGTCTACTTTGAAAATATACAAAAAAACATTTGTTTAAAACACCTAATTCTGTTTGGAATAAGATGTACCTAACCTAACCTAACCGAATATCAAACCTAATATCTTCGTGTCTTTTTTATTCCATGCTCTTATTAGAATTTATCTCTTGCTTGCTTTTAATATAATATTACTTTTCATGTTTTCATCAGAAGAAATTCTGATACCTTAGGGTAAGTTTAATTATATCATACTTCAATTTTACACATTTTTTAAAATAAAATAAAAACTTAATATACTATATAAAAAAAAATATATACTAAATAAAACCAATTAGTCGAGTGGTTAAGGTAAATTTGATAATAGCAGACATGTAAAATAAATGCAAACTTTCATTCCAATCATTGCGATGGACGTCAGAAATTTACGGATTATTTTAGTTGGTTAGTTCATCAAAATCATTAGTTTTTCACACATTTCCCTAACCACTTTTTGTTCTTTCTTCCGCATTATGGTAAAGAACAAAAAATTTACGGTCAATGTGACTTTTCAGCTTTTCATACCAAATTCAAAACTGCCATATTATATTTTATTATTGAAATATATTTACAAAATATGTTTTCAGTCGAAAACTGGTATGTACCGTGTTTATCGGTGATGTGTTTTTTTGCCATCTTGAAAATCAATCATTAGTCACAAATTAATATGACATAATATGAATCATCAGATTTGCTCTTAATATGAAAAATATTCATAGACAATTTTAAAGGTTTTTTTTCATTTTATCTAGGAGACAAAAAATTCACTGCGTTTATTTAAGGCCGGATATTGATAATTCTATACAACTGCTATTTCTCGAGTGTATCATAATAACACGAATTGCGCTTGGTTTAGTTCAGTAACTTTTAATAAGCACAATGTATGCCTTTTTTATTACTTTCCACTCACGTGTGTTCTCACGTTGTTGCTGAACAAAAATGAAATTATTATAAATAGTTGCGCATAAAGAAAGCTTTATGATAGGTACGCATTAACTAATAAATTAATGTAAACCCATATCCAATAATAACAAACAACTTTATCAAAGGCAAACGAATGCACACAGCATTAGCTTAATATCAGTGTTAAACAGTACAAACTTTAATGTTAAACGAACCGCTATAGTTATGATTATAGTGGAATATTGTACATGTCAAGTTTTTTTAAATTTCTAAAACTAGTGTAAATTAATATTCGAGTGATTAAGAACTACTAACAAGAATCTTTCGAAGAAAAAAAGTTCAATAAAATATTTGAATGTACTTTGAACAGCAAAATAAATCCTACTCATTTCAAGAAGAAATGTTAAATACTATGTACTAATGTACTTACTTATATTTTACTACTGAAGCCACACAAATATTTATATTTTATAAATGTCAATAAGTTTTAATACATTTAAAATACTTTAAAATCATGTATTAGTAGCGCATTAAATGTTCAATAATATTATTTACAAAATGTTGCTAAGGTATTATGAAAATATTTACAATGTTTTACTTATATTTTAAATTTTATTCTCTGTACTTTGATAATACTTTAACAACATTTTGTTAATAATATATTTTAACTTTTAATCTCTTGTCAAACCTCGATTTTAAAATAATATATAAATTAGCGTATTATAACTGTTATTTCGGAACTTATAAAATAATAATAATAAAAATAAAATTATTTTAGTTTAAGTTAGTTCAAATGTACGAGTCTTAATAATAATGTAGCTAATTTTAAAATCATATTGTATAAATATAATAATATTAAGTTGTAATATTAACCTACAAAGGCTATACATTTGTTTTTATATCTGTTTAAAATTACAATAATACTTTTTTTTCACTAAAAGAAACTCTGAAATAACTTACTTTTAATTTAATCTGATTTTTAAATTTGATTACTGAAAACCCTTGAATTAATTTGTAACACCCATGACTACCATGTTCTAATACTAACAACTATAATGACTACTTTAATCAAAATTAGAAGTTCACATTTCATTACAGCATCTTATCTATCTTGAACTGGTACGGTGTGGCGCAGTGGACACCGCAGCTGCCGCAAGGCGCCTGAGGTTATGCTGCGACTGGTACCGCTTGATCCCGGATGGGTGACCACCCGGGTTTTTAGCGGCAAACCACACCACTAGGCCGACCGGTGAGGACCAAGTTAGCTATAATCCCGGTCAATAATGCCACACGAATTTATTTATCTATCTTGAAAATACCAAATTGAGCTACAAAAATTGTATATTTCTTCGTATGCGTTTTGTATGTTAAAGAAGAACCAAAAGCCATGAACTCAATTACAAATATAACATATTAATATATTTTATAATATTGAATGTATATTGATGAACAGGTTATCAATGAATGACTCGTATATTTAAGTACGTGTTTGTCTAACTATGACCTATGCACCTGCCTTTTTTGTAGTTTTATTTAAACAATATTACATTATTAATTTCACAGAATTAACTAATAAAGTATAATTTTTATTATATCAATATTTATAATACATAATATATTGAAAAATTATTTTTTAAAAAAAATGCAGTTAAACTTAAATGAAACCAAAGGCAGTTTAAATTTTTCAACCAACGTTTAATTTCTTTGACAACATCCAACTGTTTTCAGTTTTGGAAATATCAGATGAACAGCCAAATACGGATATAGATAATATTATTTATTTATCTGTATGTGTAATTAATATATTTTAATAGTTATAGTAATATTAGTTATGTGTAATGTAAAATACGGAACTGTAATATTTCGACTGTAAACTTAAACAAAACTTGTTTTATTGAACATTACGACTTCCTCAGTTTTAATATACGTATTAATAATAATGAAATAATTTATAAAATAACAAATTATTACTCTACTGTCTGTGCCATATGAACACAAATACGGAAAATTTTAACTCTATTGCGTGTACTAATGTTTTACTATGGCTTAAACCAGTTATTGTTTTTGTTTATCTTCATAAATTTACAATAAGACCTCTGACATTGCAGTCGGTCTTACAAAAGAAACACTCAAGGTCCAATGTGTTTAATAAATTTGCAAATAATTTGAAGAAAAAAAAATTACCCCATACTACTTTTACTTTTACTAATTGCTTATAGATATATTTTTGAATTATGACATTTTTGTGGAATATTCCAAAGAGTGGTATCCTTACAGTTCAAGGATTTTCCGGTAGGGAAAAACACAGATTAAAAATCCTTATAAGTTGGTCGTATTAAAGCACAATAGAGTACAGCTGTTGCATTGAGCTTGGGATTCTAAAAACCTTGCAACTTAAATTTAATCTACATTTATTTTTATT